TATATATATATCTCTTGGAATAAATATAATTAATATGACAACTAAAGTTTTAGATTTAAATAGGCCTCAAAGAAATATTTCGTAGATATTTATCTTACGAAAAAAAATTCAAATGGCTTGCACATATGTTCAATTGATTTATCACACATTTACATTGTGATATAATTACATATGATTACTACTTACATCATAGATAAGTGTTAAAATTTTCGGAAATAGTTTTGCACGTCGAAGTTATTTGTCAATTATATGATTAGGACAATACAGACAAATATTTATAATTAACGAAATCTTATCATAAATACACGGCATTATTTAATTAATGCAGTGCATACATCTTTGAATTAATAGATACATACATAGCAATATGCCGTTGGTATACATGAGATTATACTTTTTACAAAAGTTACGTCTGAAGATAAAGTTCATTCTGTGTCTCTTCTGAATATTATAGAATACATCACATCAGGACGTTCTAATCCTCTCAGTTCCATATAAGAGTGAATACAATATGCATTTGTGTGTGTATATAGTCAACAAATTATATAATTCTCAGACACTAAGAGCGAAATTGTTTGTAGCAATAATACCGCAGTTTTTGAAAAAGTTTTATCCGAATGATTTTTTTTTTTTTTTTACTAGTGATATAAATATTAAATTACAAGACTAAGGGTGACTTAAATAGATCATTCTGCACATGTATATAGAAATTGTGTTTCTGTTCATTTCCAAATATTTAATGTGTAGATGAAATCTAAAAAAAATCTAACATCTCGTTTTGAATAATGAAAGCCAATGCCTGTATGCATTTATACCTTTATATTATTATTTCGATTATTTAATTGAATAGTTTCTCTCTCAACAAAAAAAAAAAAAAAAAAACTTTTTAAATATTAAATTTGTTAAATACTAAAATTATATTGTCGATTATTTAATCCTGATGAATCCTGTTACAATATGGAAATGTAATTTTTTAATAATTACAAAATGACATAAACAAAAGTAAAGAAAAATAGAACAATATGCGAATTGCTAAATTAAACTAAATTTAAACTCAATATTATGCTATACTTAAATGATTTTCAGATGTCACAGTTGCACAGTACGAGATTTATCGCACACTATTATAAATTTATTTCATAAAAGATAATTATTATATAGCAACAATTCTTTATATACCTGATAAAGATTATTCACGCGCGAATTTCGTTCTCTAATATTACTAACAACTAATATACAGGATGTATCGTAGAATGCGAGATCAATAGTATGATTGTATGTTTAGATAAATTTAAACTGATTTTTTCATAAATTACATATATATTGTGTTTTTCAAAATTCAATAATAAATAAATATTAATCATTAAGAAAAAGAATACAATTTTTATTTGAAAAAACACGTTCAATCTCTGAATTAAAAAGTGGAATTTTGTTCTTTATCTACATTCTGAATTAGTGTTAAATGTTTCTTTTATAATTAGGCCTTCATCGAGTAACCGATTTAACATTTATCAAAAAATACTTCTAAACTATTGATACACATTTTTTACATTCTGTATAATTATTGTATTTCAATATTACATTAACTTAAAGACTTCGAGACGGATGTTCAGACTAAAATATCAATAACTATATGTATATAGCATAGAGGGAAGTAAAAGATTTTTTTTTTGATAATTGAGTGATTTCAATACTTAATACATGGACTCACATATTTCTTGTCAAGGCTCCAGCTTATTTCGTTCTTTGCTGATATATGTGAGCAACTCCTTAAAATGTTTATTAGAAACAGAACATAAAATAAAAATCAAAATACTTTATGTTCAAAAAATTTTAAATATAAAGTATACTTGTATTCATATACAAAAAAATTGCGAGACAGTATAAATTCCTGGCGAAAGATTCCCGTAGAAAACTACATAAGATAATGTGTATCTATATCGAGACCAATTCAATAAATAGAACATAATAATGTATCTATAAAATAATAGAAACTTTGCCTACAAAAGAAAAAAATTGATCATTAGATTAAACTAATCATAATTTACTTTACCAAAAACATAAACTTATGATCTATGTCAATGAGCTATTGTAGCGACCCGGCATTAGAAATATAAATTCAATGTTCATGATGGTTTTTCCATGGGTTCAGTCTACCATCTGGTTGGTCCGGGGTCAGTTGTAGCTGCATTGGCTCCTATGAATGGGTTTGTGGCAGCCGCTACATTGAAATATTATATTAGTCATAACGAATGATTAAAGTATTACTTATTTATTTTACTATCATCAGTATTTGTCTTTGTAGAACAAAATTATATATCACTCAGACGTTGGATGATTAACTTGCATTTTAGTCCACATTTAATTCAAGATAAAGAAAATAGATAATAAATGTGAGAAAAATGCTGAGGTGAAAGAAATTATATCTATATTACAAGGAAAGTTCAGTATATGTCGATTAGACTGCAAAGTTTTAAGAATGAATTTTTTTTTACGATTAAAAGACTTATATTAGATGTTGTTTAACCCTTTAACTGCGACATTCAAAAGCAAGATACACATTATATATGAGCAATCTAAAATAGCAGTCGTTTCTATGTACGGAATACTTCTTCGAGCGTTACGCAAATCATTTTCGCATTAAAATAAAGTTATTTAACTGTCTTATTATTGTAAATATAACTTTTTTTGTTCAATGTTTTATATTTTATAGCTGTTTATAAAGACGCCGTAGTCAAAAGGTTAAATACAAATTTAGATTCAATTTATTGTCATTTGTTATGAAAAGTGATACTAGTTGGCATGGCTTCTAGCTGTTTCATATGCATGCGTATGTTGTTACAAGGTTTCCAATCAATAAAATTCCGGCTTATCGAACTTGCCTCGTTAGTTCATTTCTCATCTTAGCATAATATTGAATTAATGTTGTATATTATAAATAAAAAGATATTTAGAATTTTATTAACAGTAAAGATAAAAGCACAGGATAAAACTGGAAGTAATAATAGAGAAACTAGCAAAGCGTGCAATCATATGGTGTATATTTTTTATGATGAAAATAATACGATTTATATGGATACTTATTCAACATAAATTACAAACTGAGATATTCTCGGTGAAATTTTTTAAAACAAATAAGTATGAAACAAATAAGTTATAAAGTATGATCATAGCTAGAAAAATGTATCATAAATCATACAATTTGAATATTTGAAACATCAAAGTGTAAAAGTGCGAAAAGAGAAACGATAACAATTGCATAAAAAACTGTACTATGTATATAAATATATCTATATAAATGATGGAGCATGAGATTACAAATCTCTCTCGTTAAGAGCCGTCGTTAAATGTATCCCTATTTTCGGGACGTTGCACACACTGTATATGTACATTGGTATACAATTGACGTATAGTTATGTGATATTTATAGTAAAATAAAGAATTAATTAGAGCATATTAGAGCATATTCATTGTTAGCATGCTACGCAAATTATACAAGAAATCGCGACAAACTCGCAAACTCAAAGTGGTTTTGAAAAATATTAAATACATATTATTTTTAACAGGAACATGAAAAATGTACGCGTCTGTATTCTCACTCTGATGATATCTTCCTAATGTTAAAAACAGAGATCTCCATACTATGCATGGAAACGGATATCACTTTCATTATAATACAATGTTATAATCTTCACTTACAACAAACCCGTAGTTTTGTTTAAAAAAAAATTTTTTTTAATTAAATAAAAAAGAATGCCACCAAGAGAAGAACTTAAGAAGGCCGCTAAAGTTTTACACTATCGTTAGAATATAAGCGTTACCACCAATTATAGTAACAGTTACCACTGTTTTAAGCAGTAAACCTATACTTAATTTAAATTTTAAGTAACCATTTTAACATCGGCATAAAAAATTATTTTAACATAGTCTTCTTTGACATAGAGTCGTTATCGACAACAAAGTGTGATTAAAAACATCATTAACAAAAAGAATAGGCAAGAAGAAATAGAGCGAACGGCATTGAACGAGAGATATGGATTAGATGATTGATGACAATGTACAAAAAATACCAACTCATTACATATACTTTCTACGTTCAAGAACTCGTAATACCAGTGGTATAAATCACGCGGTCACCGCCGCTGTTTAAATTCGTGCTTTCGTTAACTGTTGACGTTGGTACAGCTGATCCTGGTGCAGGCATAGCAAATATAGGTTGCTGCGCATTTTGCGATGCACCACTTTGTGGTTGAGCTGTCACAGCATCATCATCGCTTTCTTCTTCCTATGAATACACATATTTAAAATATCAAAAAATATAATATCTTCTGTAGAGCCATTTATCTGTGAAGGTAAATATTTATAATATATCTTATGCTTATAGTAGAAATTAGTATTTATTCTTTAATTTTGTTGTAATAAACTATTATTATTAATTCTGGAATATAGAAAAAAGAAGATATTAATCGTTTTTTCTTTTACAATTACATAATACAAAATATAATAATAATAATAATAATAATAATACTAATAATAATAAAAAGACGATTTTTCGCTTTTAATAGTGAGAAAATCTGCCTGCGGTATTTAAAACTAAATTCATTGTCTTCAAAATATCAAATGTCATAAAATAAAATATTTTCCATATTAATAAATATATATCAATTTATGGGTTAATTAAATTAAACCAATTTAACGCAATCAGAACATAAATTTTATAATACCTTGCATTTATATCTGAAAATATTTTAATGTTTTACACATTTTTACCCTAATCTTATTTCTATACACACATCACACACACACTGCTGAAATAAAATTTTATACATATATGTTTGTGTTTTTGCTATGTATCAATTTTATTTGTATATGTGTGAATCATCTTTATTGTATCTTTGTTCCATTCTTCTTGTAATCATACCAAGTCAACTTCTATAATTTTGCAATTTAAACAGTATCCACCTGAATAGCCTGCGAATAAGATATTTTTGCTGATATACGAGTGAAAATTGTAGCGACAGAGATGGATTTTACAGAAACGCATTTTACATGATTTAAAAACATTGAATAATGTTGTAAATTTATTCAAAACTTTTATACCAGCAGAACTTTATTTTGAAATTGAAGAAACAAAAAAGAAAAAACGCAAAGAGAAGCAACATTTTTTCTTAATTTTCCTAAGTTGAATGTATTTTACTTGGCCTTAAATTTTATGGACAAAACAAACATGTAATTTAACTAATTAAGATACAAATTATTACAAAAATATTAATGTTTAAAACTTAATAAAACGTGTATTTATATATATTATACAATAAAATGTCTTTTATAGTTTTTCTATGAATTGTGCATAATATAATGTATCTCAAATAGTAGAAAATATGTTACCCAAATTAAAACAGCTATAAAACTATCGATTTTATTAAAAGAATTTTATTGTTTCTTATAAGAGCTAGATATAAAAAAATAAATAGAATAAAAAATAAAAAAATAAATTAAGCTAATAGTAAAAATTATCATGTACTTCTACATAATTCCATTGATTGCCTTCTATCAAAATATAAAACTTAATAACAATAAATCCGTTTAAAAAAAAATTCCGTCTTTAATAATTATAAGTATGTCATGCATTTGTGCGAAAATATATGGAGGATGTTCCTCATTTTGATCGCAATGAAAAAATAGAAGCGTACGTGAATATTATAACGAAACGCAATTATGAGAACTACTTTGTAAGATCTATGGAAAGTCATTCCAATATAATATTTGATTAATAATAAAAATAAAAAACGTTTATACTTAAAATTGAGCAAAAAGAAAGGAAATAAACTTAAATTTCGAGCATTATAAAAACTTACCTTGCCAAAACCTCGCGGTTGATTTGTCACAACACCCTCTGGATTCTGGTTCCGCTATAATACAATAATAACATAAACAAAACCGCTAAACTATAGGCCTTTCTATAAAAAAATATATAACTTAGCGTGCGTGATAATAAAAATACATGCATTAAAAAATTGTGCTGTTTAACATAAATAGTAGATATAGCGAATTACAAGAATTTATTACGCGCAATAATTCTGCTCATAAAAATAAAATAAATAAATAAATAAGTAATAATAATATTGCTAAAATTAAGATCACATATTCGTATATATTACCAAAAATCTGTATATATGTGTGTGTGTATAAGTAGTATTAAATTCTCATAAATAAAAAACATCGAGAATTGTGCCAAGCCCGACAATACAATGGTGCCCGATAAAAAGACAACAAATATTTGTTATTTTTAGACAGATACAAACTTTTATGTCTATGTTGGTCATATTTATATTGTATGAATTCCTTAAATCACTTGTCTTCGCAAGGTATCTACTAAGGTGTTCTTTTCCCACTGACGTGTTTTCCAACTGTATGCCAGAAATTTACGCATTGGAAATGCAAAAAAGTTCAGATTTATATTTTAGAATATTTTCAATTTAGCTGTATGTATTGTATTTATATAATTAGATTTAAAAAATCTCTTAATAAATTTTAAAAAATAGTTTGTAATTAATTAAAAATGAATTATACTTCAGATTACAAATACTGAAGTTTATTTTTATGAAAATATTTGGAACAATACATTAATAGATTTTTATTTAAAGTGTGTTGCGTTAAAATATTGCAAATATATTTATTCTTTTCACTTCATTAAAATTTATAATTACTTTAAAAGTATTTCAAAGCAAATATTAAGAATTCATAAAAAAATTGCATTTTACAAATTTGAAAAAGTTTACATTTGCGCCAAAAAGTTTACAGAGATGCATTTAAAAAAAAATGTATATGTTTCAAACAAAAATTTAAAAAATTATAATAGCATATAATGGATTTAATCGCATGCAGGGATTTATTGCAAAAATAGCAGATCTTTTTTGTTTTCTCTATGTTTAAATTAACATAGAAACAATTATTTGCATACTCATAAAACAGATCATGCATGTATGAGCAATATGTTGTTCAATATAGACTACATACAATTTACTTTTTTAAATATATTACGTGTGACATGCATTGTATGCCAGCAAGTCAAGTTTTACATGATATCTAAATAAACCATGAAAATATATACATAAAATATGAAAATAAATGCAGTATCTCGTTATATCTTTGCCTAATTCTTTGTGTTTGTTATGCAGCAAAACAAAACAAAACAAGAATGTAGATGTAAGAAATAGTATCAGAATGAGAGATGTAATATGCAACTCTTTGCAGTTTATACATTTATAATGATATTAACTGTTTTTCATACATAAAACTAGATCATCAATAAAACCAATACTTTTTAGAACTTAAATCTATTTCTGCTGATAGAAACATATACTTTTAGATATTCAGATTTAAAGGTGAACATAGCATGTTAAAAGTGATGATAAAATTGTATAAATATAATAAAAATTTGGAGAAAAGTTGATGATTTTAAGAATTCTCCAGTCGGCTTGGTATGACAATTCATAAATAAGAATTTCGGGATTTTGGTCTGTATTTGTTAATATGATGTTTTTTGTTACTGTATTTTTGTTATAAAATATTTTCTTTCACACCTGCTTAGTTTTAAATTTTTTATAAAAGTCACAAAATAGTAATAATATTCATATAAATAGTAATAAGATAATAATCAGATTCATGTTTACCTGTAAATTATGGTATGCGCCGCTATCCTCAGGAGGAGTTGGTTTACATTTACCGCAACAGAAATTACAACAGCAGCAACAACAGCAACAACAATAACAAGCAGTGATTAATCCACAAAACAGGAACAATGCCTGAAACAAACAAAATGCATTATTAGAATATAAAGTGATAATGTTTAAATATATACTAATCTTAGCCACAAAATTTATTTTGATAAGATTAAATTATATTAAATCTATTGATAATGATGTCATCGTAAGATATCTTACATTATCTTACATATAAGAGAGATATGTGTTTTATTTAACATTATATATAATGTGAATGTAAAATATACTTATTTTAAAAAACTAGAAATTAGAAATATAATTTTAATCAGTTTCTTGAAAGATACTATACCAAAATTCATTATATTCTTACCTTACACCACCCAGAAGTGACAACAAAATAAGCGTTAACATTTTCTTCTCCAAACTGTTCTGCGACGTATAAGCCAAGAGACCCATAATTATCATATATGTTACGTTTTGTTAAATCTGTCAGTATAGCATGTGCTCTATTTATTTCTTTAAACTGTAAACATATAACATAATTACAAATTGTTATATTTAAACTTCTAAAAATATTTTTTTGCAAAAATGGATCTACTAATAAATCATTAAAAATCACAAAAATCAATATTTTTAAATATATTCTGCAATAAAAAGTACACAAGTTAAAAATTATAATAACCTTTTCAGCTGCCTCTGGATTGTTAGGATTTTTATCAGGATGAAATTTCAAGGCTAATTTTCTATAAGTCTTTTTAATTTCCTCCGAAGTTGCGGTTTTTGGAATCTCCAAAATCTGGTAGAGGGAATCCCCTGCTGTACTGCAGAATAAACATAAATCCAATCGGAAATCATTAGTAAACATAATATTTTCTTATCAATAACATTGACTTATTGCTAATTAGTTTTGCGATAATATTAGTTTATATCATTAATATTCCAGTAAATAAGATTGCAAACTGATCATTTTAGACATCAGAAATTCCTCTTCTTATATTAAAGCTATAATCAATATTACTTTGAATATAAAGAAAAAAGGTTAAACACAGAGAGAAAATAACATTAAAAAGAAAAAAGTCATAATATGTGTATAAAAGTATTCGATGGAAGATATTGCGTGATAACCTATCAAGTATGCTAACCGACCGTTCGAGATTTTTATTTTTTATCATCTCGCTGCAATGCGTGCTTTTGGAGCTTCACTGTAAATTTTATTAAGTTCAAGTAATATACATTATCTTTTTCGCAATAAAATCCTTATTTCTCGCAATAACCGGTAAATGCAAAAACAGTAACAATTGTTTAGATTTCATCGCAACTATTAGTTAATCTGTTTCTAAAAGAAAACAAGCATATCAACGACTAACTGAATAGTTCAACAGGGCAAACGAGGCTAACGTGGCAGCGAAAATTGATAAGGTGTCGCGAGCAGGTGACAACGCAGTCATATCGTTTGGGCGTCTTCAATGTCACGGCGTATTCTCTACTTACGACATTTTTCTTCTGTCCATGGCGGCCGTGAATTTGTTAACTTCTCACGTGAATAATCTAAACACTGAAGCTTTTTTCTCGCTTAATTTCACGGAAAGATACTACGCAAACATTTTCCTTGATATATGGTATGAAACTTCATGCATCCTTTTGGCAAAGATGTTCCGAAGCACCATCAGTATCGCACAAAAGGCACGATTCAATATTTTAGTTCCGCCAGTCAACGCTTATGCGCCGATGAGGTCGCCTCATGGTCGCCTACATCATGGACAGAAATAACAGGGAAATATTAGGGTACATCCAGATGATTGAAATATTTCTGTACAATTGCATAATTCATATGCATAAGAAAATCGATCAGTCATGTGTCTAATACAAATTTATTGCAGATACGTAATTATTTGATTTTCTTATAGATCAAGTGAACTATATAACATACTGGAGTGAGCCTTGAAGGAATAAGGATGCTCCACTGTGGAAGAGAGAGAGAGTTATATTGGATGGGACGTCTGTCTCATGTCTGCTTTGATTTTTAATATCCCCATACACGGTAATAAATGTGGAAGGGAAACAGACATACCCGCCAACTATTGCTATCCTTGGGCCGCAAATTGCACATTGGTTCTTATGGGCTCACTTCAGTATGTTATGAATGTGTATTACGTACTTATGCAAGTTCTGTGAAATTACTCTTATGCGGCGTGATTGATATCAGATAAGAAAGGAAATAAATACATACGTCATATTTGGATTCGTGTTGATCATTAGATATCATTCTTTATCACGCTTTGTTTGATAATATATTTATATAAGCGGGTTGCAGACTCTCTTATTGCCGCATTACTGCTCTCAGCAATCTCGAACATGAACAAAGTCCAAAGTAATGAGCATTTTTGCGTTTTCAGGAATCAAATTCAATTGTAATTTGTACGAATTGAGCATAAATCGAGAGAAAATCTTGGAAAATACTTGCGTTTTGCTTTCAATCTGACATGTGCATTTCAAATCAATTATAAGCTGTTTTATTACTTTTATTTGAATCTATTTTTTAATATTGTGGTTGCCTACATATAAGAACGAACGAGAGAGTACCAGTCAGTTTGCGTGCCAATGTGCGTCGGCTATAAGGGAATGCTCCTTATTTATATCACGAGTTGTTTTCGAGTACAGTAAATTATCTAAAGTATGTGTTACTTAACGTAAAGCTTTATAATATCACATGAATAAATCATTTTACAATAATGCGATAAATATTTCCTAAATAACGAGTTTTTAATTTGTAATTAAACAGTAAAATGCGACAAAATATGACTAGAGAGATGAGTAAAGTATAGTTGTACTATTAGCTACTATTAGAGAGCCAGAAATTAACAAAGTAATTAGACACATTACATCGTAGTTTCACAAGTAATCTCTATTAATAGATATATAACCTAAAAATATCGTGACAAGCAATGACAAGTTAGAAACGATACATATGTAAGAGATTTATTAATTGTAATTTTTGATTAAATAAATTTATTTATACAGTATTGAACTTTTAATCTACGTAAGTAAGCATTATATTATATAATTCTCTTACACTTTAAAAATTCAATAAATTCAATTTTTCGCAAATATTTTTATCATGTCTGACTTAATTTATTACATACGTGTATTTATAAATGTAATTAGTTACATTTTATACATGTCTACTTTAATTAAACAAATAATGATTTGTCAACAATATTTTGGCAATAGATTTTTTAATCGTCATGGAATTGATTTATCCTTAATACAACTTTTAATGAGTGCTAGATATCATTAGTGTAAGGTTGTTATTACTACAGATATAAATTTCGCTTGAAGAAAATAGGTTATGAATAAATTGTTTAGTAAAATAAAATTGATCTGAAATTAATAAACACTCAAATTAGATAAGATTTTTAAAAATGTTTATTCTATATTTTTTCTATATTTATTCTATATTATTTCTATATTTATGTTTATGAATGTCTTACTCGTTAAAGAACCTCCCAAAAATATCATGTGATGATTATAAAATATCATAAAAAATTAAGATTAAATTTCAAATGAAACACTATTTTGCTTTGTTAATATATTATTAGTTTTCTTTACAGAATGCTGCCGAGACAGTTTGTTTATAATACTCGATTACGTACAATAACACGATGGTTTACACATAGCACTATTAAGCGAGAAACCAACAAAATGGATAAAATTCCCACACAAAAGAGTGCTGAAAACATAAAAGAAACAGATGGTATCATAGGTAAAAAATGAGTTTACATAAAGAACTTACATTAATATATGTTACAAAATAAATATTTTTTATCTTAAGTAAATGTTTTGCAATTGAAGTTTTTAAAAACTATTTCTAGATTTTTTTTATAATTTGGTTAAGGCAAAAGTGCATGGAAAAAGAGAACATAAAAAGGGAAACTTTATCATTGAAAATGTTATACAAACATAATTTTTTAGGTACACATTTATATTATTTCATTTTCATGTTTTTATGTTTTAGGAACACGTATGCATCGTGTGACTGATTTTGACAAGAGAGTACTGGTTTGGGTAAAACGATATCCTAGTATTGCAGATGTTCCAAAGGATGTTACGTACGTGTTAAATTTATATTAATGTACTATTTAGCATTGCTCAACAAAAGATCTAAAGAAAAATATATATTTTGTTAAATATTCAAAGTTGTTTCTAGTAAAAATTTTAACAATCACAAAATTATAACAAATGTGTCTTAAATAACATTTCTTTCAAAACAGATAATTTTGTTTAAAAAATATATTTATATTAATTTTTATTTCCTCAATTAGATTTGAGCTTGTGCAATTGACTTTCCTATATTCTTTGTTTGAGAAATAATTATTCTTTTTTAACAGAGTGGAATGTCTACTTACTGCAAGGAGTAAAGCACGCATCAAGGCTTGTAATTATATGATTATTGGTACGCTAATTGGTTGTGTAATTGCTGTAATACTTGGGAAAAGGCAAGCTGCTAGAGGAGAAACTTTAAGTAAACAAAGAGAGGATTGGTTTAATGAGATGATGGCAAAAGAAAAAAATAAATAAACATGCAAATACTTGGATACCGGATGTAGAAATATTCAGGACAAGTTTCCTAAGAAGTATAGATTGATATTATAAATCAAATGTTATTGTTATTATTATTTCAAAGTGATATTTTTCATAAAGTAATAAACATTTAGTTTTGATCTTTCATATTTGGTATGTAAAACAGTCTTTATAAAATAGTAATCTTTAGCAATGATAAGATAATAGAATACACTTTATGTATATGGTTATATTTATTGTAAAATTATATATTCAAATATTGAGGTTTATGTATATTGTATATTACAAATACCTGATTCACCTTAGATTGGTAGCGAAACTAATTCTTGCAAAATATATCTTTCGTACATTCTTTAATATGTTTCATTTATGTTTGTAAATAGTGTACAAGTATAATAAATGTTTTTAATTGTATATTGTATATACCTATATACAAATTAACAATGATTTAGAAAAAAGAAGTCATTATCATCACTAATGTTTACAAAATTACTATATATAACTGTATTGTAACAATTCAATTGCAATCAGATAACCATACACCAATATTCTTCACTTCCTGGACTATTTGGAAGTTCTATGTATTTATGTGTGGTTTGTAAAATCCACGGCATCTTTCATAATAGACTTGTATTGTACGTTTTCTTACAACTTCTTCGATATTGAGTTCAGATTGCAATAGTCTCAATGTAGTCTGCTCTTTTCTTAAATTTTTTATTAATGTTGGATTCTCATCACCATTATCTCTCAATGTCTTTAATTGCATCACTTTTTCCTTAGTGACGTTTAAACATTTTGTGATTGCTTGTCTTCTCTGCGTATGTTCAGATTCTATTTGATGAAACAAGTCTTTACATTGCACATTAGTATCCACCTGACCTTTGAAGGATTCAGTAGGAATTGTAGTATTCAGCATATAAATTATTTTGTCATCTATAAGTCGCATTTTTTTTAATGTATCCTAAAACATAAGTTATGTTTTACCAGTTGATATAAATAAGAAATAATACAAATATATAGAATTGTATATGTTAAATTTAAATTTTATATATAGATATTTATATATAGATATTTTCATAAAACATTAGTTAAATACTTTCTTAACCTCTTAACAAAAGTGTACATATATTACTAAAATTATTATTTTTATAACAATAACTGCTGAAACTCTGTACATCATTAAAATCTAGATTTATTATTAAAATCTTTTTTTAATAGAATATTTATTTTGTATACAATAAAAATGAGATACCACTAACCGGCGGCAATCAAAGAACCTTCAATGTCATTTTAGAATAACTTAAGTACTATAAGACAAATATATATTTAACATGTCCATATAACACAATGTTGAATGCATGATTATTATATAAATTCCACTTTTAAAATACCTGAAATTCTAAAAAATCACCACATTCCACGTTTGCGACTGCCATTTTCAGGTTAGAAAAACATGCATGAATTCACAAGATTTACTAGATGTGTTCTTATAACTTTCAGAACTCTTCCCTGCTTTATTTCTCCCCAGTGATTTGCTTGAAAATCACTAGATTAAATTACCAACAAGACATTTCTTATTGGTTGCAGCGCTTATAAGCCAGTGAATCTGATTGGTGTATACTTTGAAATGCTCCAATCAGATTCAATCTCTTATAACCCTCTTATAACTGCTAACTTTGCTAAACGCAGCCATTTTCTCTTTAATGTTGCAATTGTAAAACAGTGCGCGATTTACGCTCCGCATCTTAATATAATTGAAAAGAATCTATCGGGTAAGAAATTATCACAAATACATCTTGTAAAATATTAGACATTAATCGTTACATGTGAAATATCGATTGAAGTAAATCGAAGTACGATTGCAATTCTTGAAATACGTATTGGCGGTTCTCTTCCGTATTTGTTGAGTTATTCAAAATGCTCGTACATATTATATTATTTTTTATCGAAATTTTAATCTACGCAAACTTCGTTACATTAGAAAGTAGAAATTTCACAAAAGTAAAATTTATCATCTTATGAATTACTAATTCGACATTCTGTAAAAGGTAACGACGAAAAAAGGGTAAGAACGAAAACTGCGAGTAGCAAGGACAATGGCTGCGGTCTACTTGACGCTAAAAATGCTTCGAAAATGTTTTTTTCTCCTTCTCTTTTCATTAAAAGGAAGGAGAAAAAGAATATTTCGAAGTATTTGTAGCGTCAAGTGAACCGCAGCCATTATTATTAAAAAAAATAACGCGCCAATATGAAACAATTTGACTCGATCGTGTGTCGCCGTGCGAAAGATAATAGGATGATAAAATGTAGTAAAGACAAAATCATGCCGTGAAATTCCACCATTACGATTTGAAAGAATACGGAATAGTAAACATTTTGATCACATTGGATTGCTCCGTATCAATGTATTATTTTTTTCAATAGTACACCTTACTACACCTCACAGTTTTCGATCTCCCACCCTCTTCTGTCGTTACCTGTTGCGGCAGAGTATCGAATGTATACTTTGCGCGATGATATTAGAGTATCACCTTTGTTCTGTGACAAAAAGCGGGAATGTCGGGAGTGTCGGGAGTGCCGGGAGTGTTGTATAAAATATCAAGTGATTTTTACATTTCAATTACGAATACGTGTGAATACCATAAACAGCAAAACAAATTGAGACGAGGATCAGGAAGCATCGAGCGGAGCAACTTTAGGGTAATCATTTATTTATGTTATTTGCAAAATATTATACTTAAAATATTACATAATGTAACGCACATAAAATACTTATAATAATTAAATTTATGATTATTAAAAATGTTTTATTTTTATTGATAATTATTTCAAATAATTAAATTTTGTTTTAATAATACTTCTATTAGATATTTGCTAAGATAAATGAGTAAAAAATTCAATGTGCGCAATAATTATTTGTTAAATATTAATTATTTTGAACGTAACTCTAATTTGGATTTATTTTCTTTTTACAGATCAACTTTGGAGATTGGACTTTGGAAAAGAACTACAACTCTGCTGCTGCGTATCATTTCGGTGAGTTTAATTTATAATATATGTATATATTTATATAAATACAATTTAAGAAAATATAGTATGTTCCAGTATGCTTATAACTTGTGTCTCATTCAGTTGAAGCTTATATTAATAAGCTTCTGTGTTCATTATAGTAATTTTTAGCACATATTTTTACACTTATGTGTTATGATGCTTATCATTCCATTTACGTGTTATGATGTAAAAATATGTCTTAAAAATTATGATTAAATAAGCATACAAATAAGCTGAAAAATGAAAATATTTTTAGTCGTGCTTAATTTCTGCCTGATATCCTAGATTGTTTAAATCTTTTATCATAACTTCCAAAGCTTCGGAAGAAATAGACTTAAGTGGTGCACGAGGTAATCCTACATCAATATCAGTAAGAAGAGTCATTGCTACTTTCATAGTCTCTACCCAGTTACCTGCAAATTAAATTTTGAATGAGAATGCATTTTATTAGACATAAAGACAGTATTTACCATGTTTTGTTATGGCAATTACAGCCCTTGAAAGCTCCTCTTGCTTATTCTTAGCTTCTAACATCTTTCCATCCTTGCTAGCAGCAAGAAGATTCAGTATAAGTTCCGATAACATGTTTAGACTGGTTAATATAAAAGAATCAATTCCTAATGCATAAGCAGCATTCACTATCTACAATGAAATCAGAGAAAAATACATTTTATTATATCGCAATCAGAGTATATATCAAGTATTAGTATTAATTCAAAATATTTACACAGCGCTAAATGTTAAAAAATAATAGTTTTTACCTGATCATTCCCAAGAAAAATAACATATTTCTTATTATCTGCATGTAACGCCTGTGCACCTTCTTCTAAATTGGCACTAGTGAATTTTATACCCACAAATGAAGGTATTTTGTCACCAATCGATTCAAGAAATTGTCCCATGTGTACTAAAAAAGAAATTTATGACACATTATGCACATAATTGTATCTTACTTTTGTCAATTTCATTATTTTAACATGTTTACTGATGCATTACATTATGCATTTATTAAAATCTTAAAAGACTTACTGTTAACATTAGTTAACATAGGAATATGATAATAGAGTAATGGTGTCTTGGGCGCAGCCTTCCCAATAATTTCCAAATATTCAATCAATTGTTGAGAAGTAGTAGGTTTAAAGTACAACTCTGGCAAGCACAGTATAGAATCTACATGCAAATTTTCTGCATGTTTTGCCTATAACATTCGTTTATATGCAGTAATTGCAGTATTGATAAATATTACATTGTGGAAATATTATTTTATACTATTACACTTTTTACATATGTTTCTCTACATATAACCTTTTACTCACAAGCTCAATGACATCAGGAAGAGAAGTGCCTCCCACTTGAATCATTAAGTGTTGCCTTGTTTTTTTAACTGCTTTTGCCCAAGCTTCAGCAATAAGTTTTCTTTCAACAACAGACATTGACATTCCTTCACCACTTGTGCCATTTACTGCAAAACAATATGACAAATATGCAAAATTAGTAAGTTATTCTTAAAATAAATACATCTTTCTACTTTCCAAATAATTTTTATATATACTTTAAGAATTTTGTAAATGCATCTTATATAGGCACACTTGCTAAACACATATGTGAAATATTACTTAAATAATTAAGGTTAGTATTAAGGTTAATATTAAAAATTGCTTACCAAGTATACCATTGATTCCTTTTTTAGCTAAATATTTTGCATATTTTGATATAATATCCAAATTAAGATACCTATTAAACAAATACCTAGCATTATTCAGTTTAATATTAGCCAATGTTGTACTTTAAATATAAATTTATTACCCATCATTATTAAAAGGCGTTAGTACTGGGACAATAACACCTCTGTAGGTATATGGTAATCGCTATAATTATAAAATAATAAATAAGTTGCTGCAATACATTATAAATAGAGCTTATATTTGTTTATCATGACTGTTGCTGAAAGAATTCCAAAATTATAATTTATTAATTTTATTAATTTAATATTATATAATTTGTTATTTATTTTTTTTCATTTTATATGTGTGTGTCAAATTTCAATATTAAATCTTTAAATATTTTAAAAAATATAAAAAATGTTAATAAAATAATGTAAGAAAAGAAGAGTTATCTGAAAAAATTGGGATATAATCTATTTTTTTTACATATAATATTCTAATAAATGAATATTATTATGATATGAGTTTTGAAATGTTTTATCAAAAGTTTTTCTTAATAAATAAGTAAAATTAGTTAACTTATGGTATAATCAATAATGATTAATAGCAGTATTATTTCTTTAAAATCTTTTTACACATTTTATATATCACGTATTTCTCTGAATAACAACTGAACATTTCAACTCGATATTTTGTGAGAAATATGATTTTGCTATAAGATGATTGATATTTATACATATGCTTTTGTGCAACATAATTCCCTGGTTGATGAAATTTTTCGTTAGTCGTGTTTTATTCGTTTTACTATGTATATAATTATATACATCATATGTAATGCATATGATACGTGAACGAGTGGGTTTCGATAATTTATATAACCTGATGTATGTAAATATCAGAAATATTGTCTACTTACGGACATTTTTGTGGATATGAAGCGAACTAAACCTGATAAGACAGTCGCACAGAAAACACTGCAGTAATTGGTAGTTAAATTCCATTATCTCACTGACACACTGCTGATAAGGCAGAATATCAACTTGTTTACAAAAGATTAAAAGCGTACAAGTCAAAGATAAAATGTGTTATATCAACCGAAATAGCACAATAATAAAAAAAAGAACTTGAAGGTCGTAGTTGGGTGCAAAAGCAAATAGCAGTCATTATATAAATATTAATTCTTTTTATTGAAACGTTTCGGTCCAACTTTGATTGTCTTCAATGTCTGGCAAATGTAAAAATTAAAATCGGATATGATATACCATAACGAATATAAATTACTACGATAAATAATAGAAATGGAAAGTTATGAAATAAATTGACTAAAATGAAATGAATCCTACGAATTAGTTAGCACTTCAACGATTAGTCTATGAATATTTATAAATCCAGATAACACAGCATATCAAAAAGACGTCCAAAGGATATTTCGAAGACGTTTTTGAGACGATAGGACGTCCTTTGGATGCATTTTGGACATGTGTGCCGTCTGGGAAGTTAGTGGTATAGAAGTTTTTACTTAATATATTATTTAATATAATTAATATATTATTGTAGTGATAAATATGCTATAAGTTCCAAGATGGTCACATGCTTCTTTTTTTATTTGTTTAATGAGTATTATACGCTTTTCTTAGTTTTTCGAAACGAAAACGAAGGCTATTCGAGTGTTAAATAATAACGTCAAAGAGAATTTTATTTAATGTTAGCTACTACTCGTATAATGCTCGTTTTTTTTGTTGTAATAATTCTCATTTAAACGTGACGAAATGCTATGGCGCTCTGTACGCGTACTCTAGGAAAGAAGTTTTCTGATTTAACAATAATATTTTTTTTTTACGTTTTGCTTAATACGGTCTCTCATGACGAAGCAAATTTGTTGAAGAGTCGAAGCTGAAATTGATACTTTGTCTCTTCGTGTAATTAATAATAAAAGACAAATTAGATTAATTCACTGATCGATGCTCAGCAGCGGAGTTGTTCTGTTGATCTGCTTAGTTGATGATCTGTAAAATACGAAAATAAATGAAGATTATAGTTGCGTTCAAAATAACGAATATTTATCAAATCATAATTGAATACATTAAACATTTAAGTCTTGTTCTAAGCAAATATGGAATAAAAGAATTATTGAAAAAACTTTAATTATTTAAATAAAAAGCAATAAATATGTAAATAAATTCTAATAATGAATATTAACTAATGTAAATATTTTATGAAATATTTTAAGTCTTTTAATGTACAACATTTTCAACAAATAAATGAATTATTATTTACCGTAAAGTTGCTCCGTCGGCGCCCGGTGCTCCTTCTGAGCCTTCGCCTCCTGTCAGTCCACACAGTTCTCGCAACCCTCGTAATTTTTCACAGTACTCACACGCGATTCGCGACGCGAATAATTTTCACGATAAATCTTTTAAACACTTACACGCGACACACGCATTGCACGCGTGCATTTTTAAATATGAAAGTCGCGCGACCCTTTAAACGGCACTCTCGATTTTTATTACGACGCATTTTATTACGACGATCACACGGTATTTTACACACTTCCTACGCGATTTTGTCGTATGAGGACAAAGGTATAACTCGAATATCGCTTGTCGCACGGAATACGCGTTCGGCACTCCGCGCCGAATAGTATGTACGCAACAGGTATTGATGAAAAAGGGGGAGGAAGGCACAAAACTGTAAGGGAAAGTACTAAGGGTGGTAGGAGCAGGGATAACTCGATGTGAACCCGTACGAGTGCCGCCGTGCGACTGTGCCAAGAGGTAAGGACAAAATACCGCAGGATATTTGAAGGACTTGCGCAGATTTAAAAGGTAACATGCGTAGAAGAGATACATGGATAATGCGAAGTACAGGATAACGTATGATAGCAGGATAGAAAGAGAAAGTGAAAGAATGGAGTGCGTAAACAGCGTAACCTAATATTTCGTGTTGTGTTAATTGTAGAGAGAACAAGGCTTACCATAGTGTTTAGGTTACGCTGTTTACGCATTCCATTCTTTCACTTTCTCTTTCTATCCTGCTATCATACGTTATTCTGTACTTCGCATTATCCATGTATCTCTTCTGCGCATGTTACCTTTTAAGTCTGCGAAAGTCCTTCAAATATCCTGCGTTATTTTGCCTCTTCCCAGTCGCACGGCAGCACTCGTACAGGTTCACACATCGAGTTATCCCTTCCTCTACTATCTTTACTATTTTCCCTTACAGTTTTCCGCCTTCCTCCCCCTTTCCATTATTACCTGTTGCGTACATACTGTACGGCGCAGAGTGCCGAACGCGTATTCCGTGCGAGAAGCGATATTCGAGTTATACCTTTGCCTTATACGACAAAATCGCGTCGGGAGTGTGTAAAATACCGTGTGATCGTCGTAGTAAAATGCGTCGTAATAAAAATCGGGAGAGTTTAAAGGGTCGCGCAACTTTCGTATTTAAAAATTCACGCGTGCAATGCGTGCGTCGCGTGTAAGTGTTTCAAAGAATTATCGTGAAAATTATTCGCGTCGCGATCGCGTGTGAGTGCTTTGAAAAACTGCGAGGGCTGCGAAAACTGTGAGGACTGAGAGGAGGAGGAGGCTCAGGAGGAGCATCGGGCGCCGGCGGAGCAATTTTACGGTAAATAATAATTTATTCATTTATTGAAAATGTTGTACATTAAAAGACTTAACAGATTTACATTAGTTAATATTTATTATTATTAGAATTTATTTACATATTTATTACTTTTTATTTAAATTAAACTTTTTTCAATAATTTTTTTATTACATATTTGCTTAGAAAAAGAATTAAAAGTTCAATGTACTCAATTATTATTTGATAAATATTCATTATTTTGAACGCAACTATAATTTCATTTATTTTCGTATTTTACAGATCATCAACTATGTAGATCAACAGAACTCCGCTGCTGCGCATCGATCGGTAAGTTTAATTTACAATATATGTATAAAGTTATATAAATATAATTTAAAAAAAATAGTAAATTAACTTATGTGCTATGATGTAAAAATATGTCTTAAAAATTATGATTAGATAATCACGCAAATAAGCTGGAAAATGAAAATATTTTTAGTTGTGCTTAATTTCTGCCTGATATCCTAGGTTCTTTAAATCTTTTATCATAATTTCCAAAGCTTCGGAAGAATAATACTTAAGTGGTGCACGAGGTAACCCTACATTAATATCAGTAAGGAGAGTCATTGCTATTTTCATAGTTTCCACCCTTTTACCTGCAAATATTAAATTCTGAATAAGAATGCACTTTGTCAGACATAAAGACAGTATTTACCATGTTTTGTTACGGCATTTACAGCCCTTGAAAGCTCCTCTTGTAAACTCTTAGCTTTTAACATCTTTCCATTCTTGCTAGCAGCATAAAGATTCAGTATAAGTTCCGGAAACATGTTTAAACTGGTTAATACAAAAGAATCAATTCCTAATGCATAAGCAGCGTTTATTGTCTATAATAAAATCGGAAAAAAATATATTTTTATTATATTAAAATCAAAGAGCATATATAAAGTATTAGTATTAATTCAAAATATTTGCACAGAGCTAAAAGTTAAGAATTAATAGTTTTTACATGATCATTCCCAAGAAAAACGACGTATTTCTGATTATCGGCATGTAACGCTTGCGCACCTTCTTCTAAATTGGTACTAGTGAATTTTATACCCACAAATGAAGGTATTTTATCCCCAATCGATTCAAGAAATTGTCCCATGTGTACTACAAAAAATATTTATGATACATATAATTGAATCTTACTTTTGTCAATTTCATTAATTCCACATATTTATTGATGCATTACATCATGCATTTATTAAAATCTTAACAGATTACTTACTATTAACATTAGTTAACATAGGAATATGATAATACAGTAATGGTGTCTTTGGCGCAGCCTTCCCAATAATTTCCAAATATTCAATCAATTCTTGAGAATTGGTAGGCTTAAAGTACAATTCTGGCAAGCAGAGTATAGAATCTACATGCAGATTTTCTGCATGTTTTGCCTATAAAATTTCTTTATATGCAATAATTGCAGTATTGGTAAATATTATATTGTGGAAATACTATTAATACACTTTTTACATGTATTTCTCATAATCTTTTACTCACAAGCTCAATAACATCAGGTAGAGAAGTGCCTCCCACTTGAATCATTAAGTGTTGCCTTGTTTTTTTAACTGCCTTTGCCCAGGCTTCAGCAATAAGTTTTCTTTCAGTAACAGACATTAACATTCCTTCACCACTTGTGCCATTCGCTGCAAAAGAATATGACAAATGTGCACAAAAAAAAATTAGAATTTTATTCTTAAAATAAACACATCTTTCTACCTTCTAAATAATTTTTATATACGCTTTAAGAATTTTATAAATCCATTTTATCAGGCACACTTGCTAAACACATATGTGAAATATTACTGAAATAATTAAGATTAGTATAAAAAATTGCTTACCAAGTATACCGTTGATTCCTTTTTTAGCTAAATACTTTGCATACTTTGATATAATATCCAAGTTAAGATATCTATTAAACAAATACTTAGCATTATTCAGTTTAATATTAGCCATTGTTATACTTTAATTATAAATTTAATACCCATTATTATTGAAAGGTGCTAATACTGGAGCAATAAGGCCTCTGTAGGTATATGGTAATCGCTATAATTATAAGATAACAAATAAATTGCTACAATACATTATAAATAGATCTTATATTTGTTAATCGTAACTGTTGCTGAAAGAATTCCAAAATTATAATTTTAATAATTTAATGTTATATGATTTGTTATTTATTTCTTCTTTATCTTATGCTTGTGTCAAACTTCAATATTAAATATTTAAAAAAGTATCAAAACATGGTATAAATAAGGTAATGGAAGAAAAGTTATCTGAAAAAATGATAATAGATATGAACGAGTAGGTTTTGATAATTTAAATAACTTGATGTATGTAAATATCAAAAATATCGTCATCTACTTACGGACATTTTTATGGATATGAACTAAATCTGACAAGAACAGTTGCACAGAAAGCACTGCAGTAATTGCTAACAAATTTCCATTACCTCACTGAGACGTTATTGATAAGGCAAAATATCAGCTTGTTCACAAAAGATTAAAAGCGTCAAAGATACAAATCAAAGATAAATAAAATGTTGTGTTGTATCTATCAAAATAGCACAATAATAAAAACAAGAACTTGGAGGTCGTAATTAAATAAAAGCAAATTGCAATTATTATATAAATATTAATTATCTTTGTTTAAACGGTAAAATATGTTTTTTGTTGACTGTTCTTGGAGAAGTTATGGAATCCTATGAATTAGTCAACTTCAACGATTAGTCTATGAACATTCATAAAGTTAGCGGTACAAAAATTTATTATTTATTGCAGTAATATATATTAGGACATATCATATGTTAACCGATTTTAATTTTTACAATTGTCAGACACTAAAGATGATCACAAAGGTGGACCGAAACGTTTGAATAAAGAGAATTAATATTTATAATAATTGTTACTTGCCTCTACACCCAACTATGGCCTTTAAGCTTTTGTTTTTATTATTGTAAAATCAAAGATAAATCTAGAGAGAAGATTCGGCATTTTTCGCGGACAGCTTTGCAATCTTTATTATATTAGTAATTAAATTTTATACAAATTAAAAATTTTTTAGAGACCAACTTGGCCATGAGATTAACTATGCTATATTTGTTGATGTAAATTGTCCGTAATTTAAGAAATTTAAAAGATCATATTTCTATGATTACTTTAATATTATATAGGAATATTTTCTATATATAAATTTGAATGCAAAGAGTAGGCGAGAAAAAGGGGAAGGATAGGAGGGAGGAAAGGAAAGAAAGAGATCATGACAAAGACTACAATTATTTATAAAAATGCTCTTTATGTTTATTTACATGTAGATCCTTTTTCTCAACAATGTCAATAGTATTAATATATTATTGTAATGGTAAATTCGCTATAAGTTCCAAGATGGTCACATGCTTCTTTTTATTTGTTTAATGGGTATTATATGCTTTTCTTAGTTCTTCGAAACGAGAACGGAGGCTACTCGAGTGTTAGATAATAACGCCAAAGAGAATTCTATTTAACGTTAGCTGCTACTCGTATAATGCTCGTTCTTTTTTTTATTTTGTAATAATTCTCATTTAAATGTGACGAAATGCTACAGCGTTCTGTACGCGTATTCTAGGAAAGAAGTTTTCTGGTTTAGCAATAATATTTTTTTTACGTTTTGCTTAATACGGTCTTTCACGACCATCTTATTTTTGAAGCATCGCTTATGGCTTAATGACGATTATAACGCATGAATATGATGGCACATTGCTCGATAATATCTGTCTCACAAGAAAGATTACAACGAAATTTCTTTAATCTTAACCAATCCATACTTGAAGAGTTTTCCAGAAAGTATGATTTTACGTACACATACAGTTTACATAATATTTACGAAAATTTACTGACTAGGGATAGAATAAAGTGTCACAAAGTTAGTGACGAAATTATATAATTTGTAGTTCAAATTACGAATTGAAATTAAAAATATATGTTCCAAAGAGTACATCAAACAGCGGAGTGTTCTCTTGTGCATTTTTCACGACAAATATACATACTTTTTACGTGATAAATTAATTTATCGCAAGTAGTAAAACTAAATCATTGGACGAGACGGTTTGGAAGTAGACAAGAAACGATAACTAACTTTATTTTAAAGGCATTCTTTCTGATAACTATATAATCGTTATTATTCGGCGATATTTAACTAATTACTGCATAATTCGTTAACTCGCATATGTAATTTTTGCCAACGGTTCTTGCTGACGATGAGCCGGAAGAGGCCATCGACGATAGATACGGGCAGCAACCGTCTATAAGATAAATGCGTTAGTGCGTATGTGATAAAGTTCACACTTATGAAAAAGAGATATATCTCGTATCGTATTACACTTCGATTAGATAACTCGACACACCGGTGGAGTCGGGCCAGCCCGATTACACGCGGCGAGAATGTGTCATTTTTATTAATTAATCAATTTCTTTTTTTCTCTTTTTTAATCGCTCCGACTCGTCTACTGCTTATCGCATTTTTCTTCTCGATTAAAGATCTTTTGTTTTGGCTCCGAAACATGCCATGTACAAAAATGCAACGCATGGCTCGATGGCCTTTCGAAAGTAATACATATGTGTATGTATACGATCATATTTTATATATATTACGCGCGTTTTATATTAACGTAACAGCTATTGAAGATTTACGGATATGTACAATTAGGGATATGCCCGGTCGACACGTCAGCATCATTTAGCTTTTCGCTCGACCTCCTCAAAGATGTTCTTCCGTTCGATTTCTGTCACGCCCATCGTTCTTGGCGCTTTATTTTACTTCTTCTTTTTTCATCTGGGGGTTCTTGATCCGATGAAAAAATAAGGAGTTTTAATACTGCAGTGTTTACATAGGATCGGCCCTTGGGAGCTCGTTCAGTATCCTTAATCAGAGTGGTCCCAAAAATATTAAGAAGTAATCGTTTCGCGCGTGCGCCGCTTAACGCGGTAGCCACTTTTGAAATGCGTTTAACGAGTCTTTTAGAGTCGTCCTTGAAAAGGGAAGGGATAGCAGACGAAGGGTTGACATCGACGAGCATGGGCGCCGTTAAATGTCGTTACAGGGTGAAACAACATATCGGCAATCCTTTCTTTTTCGTCTTACACGCTATGCGAGAGAAAGTAAAGTTTTATTGCCTCAGAACATATATATATATATATATATATATGTATATAAAAATTTTATTTAAAAGAATAGATATTAAATTATCTAAGAATAGAAAATTTTTTTTGCGATTATTTTCATTAAAATGCTGTTATTTCTCACACTCTGCATTACATTCTGCATAAAATATAACAAAGCAAATTTGTTGGTGCAAGAATCGAAGTTGAAATTGATACTTTGTCTCTCCGTGCGGCAATTAATTAATTTTATTTTTACGTGACAATATATAGAAGTATATAAAATAATATATCGAGTATATTTAAGTTTTGCAGTGTTATTAAGCCATTAGTTCTATCACGATTAAAACTAATGTTGCTCTGCTAATTTATTTCTGAAATCAGTTCTCAAATCTATGAATGTGTATTTTTATCGCGAGTCTTGAGTATTTTATTTATGATCAATAATGAGAAAATTGTTAATGAAGTGACTAAGAACTATATAGTTTTCGAAAATTTATGAAAAACATATTATTGTATCATAAATTTTATCTTTGAGTAGAAGAGAATCTATGTAATTTTTTGCAACTCTCATAATTTATATAATTGACATAATTCGTAATTATATTTAAAAAATCGAAGCTTGTACGGCATGAAATTAAAGTAAAAGTTATATTATTGAGAGAAATTTGATTGTGATTTACAAAATTGTTCTACCAAATTTGTTCTAACGGCGCCCATGCTTTCGGAGGCGAGTTTGGCAATCATGTGCAACTCGTTGCAACTCGTTCCGTAGCGGCATAACGACGAATGGTCATAACGGTTGTAATCGAGACATAACGCTCGATAGACTCTGTCCATTAGGGGTTTAAATCGGAGGTCCAAGGAGCGTCGAATATTGATTACAGTAATTCATTATCGTTATTAGTAGCCATTGTTCGTTACTGCTATGTACATAACATTCCTCGAAGATGCTGCTATATGTTATATGTTAAGTAAATACTGCTATGGCGTTTAGGGACACACTTTGCTTTGGTTTTTCCTTATGTTAGAATAAAATGTGTACTGCGATGATGGTATGTGTGTTTCTTGTACTTGCCGAGTTGTTGCATATTTGTGATTTGTAAATGTTGGTCTCCCGCCGTCGATATTTGAGAAATTTTAATGCGTCGCTTATATTGAGAGATCGTAAATTTTTATAAATTTATTCAAACTGCAAAAATGGGTTCTTCTAGGTTTTCATGATATGGAATTTTTTTTTTAATTGGAAAGATTATAATGGCAAATTTTCGATCAATTGAGTGAAAGAAATTTTCTTAAATACAACATTTTAAAGATTAAATAGCTAACAAAGATTAAAACAATGGGATATGTGAAGTATTACGTTACTCTCGCAATATTGTCAAGTATACTGATAAGATATGGCAATTGTAAGTTAGATGTTAGCTTGATCTACGTATCTGCGAAAATGGTTTTATGGTACGATGATTGCAATAGTACATCTATATGTACAACTACAGTTGATTGATGTCTTCTTTCTCTTTAGTAGTTTCATTTATAGTCTGTTTTGGACCAATTAGATTATTTTTTTTTACAGTTAGCAGATACGATGATCGCGTTCAGACCTATGTTCAGATCTATGCCTCTACAGGACTTATTTTATCGAACGATGTTTCTTTTATTTTTAACCTACTCGGGGATATATGTATGTATAGATATAATTGGCCTGCATATTCGTCTTTCTCATTTTTTATTCCATTTGGTGATTTTGTCTGTTTGGTCTTTCATAGATATGTGATTACGTAGTTTTCGAGATATGAGATAAACATTAAGAGGGAAATACTATCCAAAAATATACAGAGTTTCCAGTGACGTCGCGAAGCATCTCGGGGAAGGATATACTTAGCGTATCGAATATATCTTTCTCACGGTGTTAGAAAAAATCGCGGCGTTTTTGTATTGATTAAGTGTACAGTTTCGCTTAAAAAAATCAGTCTGTAGGGTTATCTCGAAAATATAAAGTATCTGAAACGTTTCATGGAAGACGAGGTAAGGCTATTCGCGACCTCACTGGTTTGTGACGTCAGATTCCGTATTGTTTCTCAATAGTTAATTAAAGTTAGCGAAATTATTCTCGGTAAAATTAGGCTGCCGGTTTCGAGCGCACGACAAAGCTCATCGCGCTCATGCGCAAATGGTTTTTCCGTGTGAAAAAATAATTGAATAGAGCGCATTTATACGCGAATTGTCATCGACACTCCTTGGTCTCGTATTTACAATCTACGTATGTTCGCTAAAACAGTTAAGAGAGAGGGACGGTAATCGAGAATGCAACATCGATCTACCCTCTAGCGTTAACAATATATAGTAAATACGATCTTTAAGTAGCAACTCACAATATACATTACGATGCTCTCTCATTGGACTCTACTCAAATTTCTTATCACATGGTTGACTAGACGCAAAAAGAAATAGTTATCAACGTTAATAGAACGAACAAACAAGGTACGATAACAGCGATATATAACTTTAGCTTAGAGCTCTCGCGCGAAAGAATAACTGGAGCGCTATCAATGTAAAACTTCAGGTACGACGTAAATGATAAAGACGGTGCTCACAAAGAATGCAAAGTCGCACGGAGCAGCGGACTTCTTTGGAGATTGTGGTATCGATCGGACAATCGGGTCCAATATTCCGGATATTTCAAACGGAAACACGCTCAAACAGGAAGCACTTCCGATACGTCTAAACATACGAATGTCGCGAATGTTGCTGACCTAGATCACTTAGAATCGTACGTCGTTTGGCAAAATGTTTAGAGATCGCGAGCGATCGCTCTTCGAAAATAGATCGCAAACTCGCGTGGCGCATCTCGCTTTTTTTATTCGTTGTACAAAAATAATAAAATCAGGCGCAACGTGGCACTAACTTTTTCGACGCGCCAGCGCATCGATCAGACGCGGCAGTTATGTCTCGGTCTGCGTCTGACAAATTTACTGCCACGTGATGAAATCAACTCCCGTATGGTGCTTGGCTTTCATACTTGTTAGCAAACTTAAGGGGACTCAATAATCGTCGCTTTGCCATTCAATGATTGTGCGCGATTATTACTGGCTGCTGCAGATCAAATGCTACATTAAAACCCTTGAAAAGTTTTGGAAAATGACGGCGTGATAATCTCCATTTCGGTGTCGATTATTTATCGTGGAAAAATCTCGTTTGCTGACTTTGCAGCGATAACGACTTTACTAATTGGAAATTTTGTTCAAATATCATGAAGATAATTGCACGCGTAATCAAGTTAAAGAATGTAATGTTATTTTCATAGACATTGATGTTTTTCGAAGAATTATTCTACTTTTGAAGGAAAGAAATTTTTCTTCTTTTTCTATTTCACAAATTTGTATTTCTTATTGTAAAATATCGTCGCGTGGCCAATAATGAAAAATGCGCTGTTTCATGTTTCCTTAACGCGAAGATGTTTAACTATTTTGATCGTGCCCTGTCTCATTGATCAAAGATTCAAAGATTAATCGATCGTAGCCTGTTGGATCATCGTGACACTTGTATCGCAAAGATTTCCAATATGTTTTTCTCGAGCTTTGAGATTAATACTCAACGATTCGTGGAGTCGTTCTGTAAAATCAGGGCTGTGTATTCTTAATCATAGTGACTGTGTGTGTTATAAATTTATAACTGGCTTCTCCGAGCGGCGAAAATCGATGTTATCGATGTCGCCCTTGACTGCCACTATGACTTCCAGACTCTTAATTTTCTTAACGAGACTTTTTTCAAATGAAGAGCAGCGTTCAGTATGTCAGACTCGCGCGTATCCTCGCCGTCGGAGTGAACTTCTCGTCTACGTCCCGACATCATCAATCGATGTCTCAGACCTCTAGAGGTAGGATCTGACAGTGCCTCCGAAACGGGCACCTTCTCCTTGCTTGATCCTGGCAGAGATACCGATCTGCCGACGGAAAATCCTTTGCTGAGTCTGTCGAGAGTTGCGGGCAAGAGATGTCGCCTCGGTAAGGCCTGCTCTCGTTCTCTAAGGATGAATCTGCCAAGAGTTTTCCAAAACGCTTGCGTACTATAAACGGTTTCATCATCGCTCAACACTCTCAGCTGACGATTTCCGCTTCCAACCGCACCCGCGCCTCCCCATTCCAATTCCTCGACGAGGGCAAACTTGGATGGATCCTCCATTCTTCTGGCTTTTATCAGAGCTTGCGCTAGCACGTCCTGCGCCGAGCTGCTTACCGGCACACGTAGAATCGCGTAAGGTATTTCCGGTGAGACGTTGTAGATGCAGACCAGAAACGTATCCGCCTCGTCCCATATGTGGGTAGATTGATCCCTTGTGTTAGAATCGTTGAGTTTCGAGTGACCGGCTGTGCTCCTGATAGAGGCGAGCCACGCTCTGCTGCTCGGATCGTCGCCCACTCGCTTCAGAAGGAAGCGACCTTGGCCCTTCCAGAGTGCCTGCGCTTGAAGAGGATGTTCTGTAGGATCTAGTACGCGTTGAGTCGGCAGTTCCTCTCTATCTCTTTTCTCCCATCCGCGGGATACCTCCTCCACCAAGATGTACTCGTCTACGTGTTCGGGCGATACCCCGGCCTTCTGCAGTGCCTGCAGCATCACCTCTTGCGTAGTGCTCTCCTGCGTGACCTTTAAAATGGTGTACGGCTCGTCCGGTATCACATGATAAACCATCAGGAAGAACATTCGCCTCTTCAGGGTGACGCCGCCCAGTCCGGGATCGACGGTGCTCAATTTCTCAGGCTCCTTGCCCGACGAGAGACGTTTAGACGACTCCTTGTGATCGCGGCAACAGGTGTTGTAATCCAAGCTCTCCTCCTCCAGTCGCGAATAGATAAAAAGCGTGGACAAGGCCAACGGCTTGTTCTTGCAGGATCGTAATCGTACGTGTCGGTAGCCGGGTCGTAGACATTTGAGCGGTATCACGCGTTGCGCGATTAAATGGTGAGAGCTCGCCTCGACGACGCCAAAACGCAAAAAAGCGAGATCCTTGAACATCACTTGGAAACAGAACTTCTCGTTCCAGATGGGATTCAACGCGTTGTTCTGGATCACCTTAGTTTTATGCTTCGCGCAGTCGATCGGTATGCCGACCAACTCGACCTCGACGTACGTACTGGTGACGAAATTCGTAAGCGAGACGTATTGCCCCGAAACTATTGACAGACTCAAGTGTGCGGAGTGCAGCCCGTCGAATTCTTTGTCCCAAGGATTGAACCGCCTGTCAAGATATTTGCGACATTTTTATTTGAAATTTATTTTTATCATAAAAAAATACGATTGAATTCAATGAACTCACCTGTACATCATGTGTCCCTTGTCCCACATCACCGAAGGTTTTCGAACGTATCCACACTGACCACTTTGCTCGAACATAGCTGCGTTTAGATTCAATCCCGCGTCATCGGTTTGGTAGTTTAACGCAACCATTTGAATTCCAAAAGCCCAAAATATTACAGGATTGAAATTTGTAGAATCAATTCGCATGCCTGCCGGATACGTTCGAATGAGCTGAGTCTCCGCGTGAGCAACTACGCCTAACGGCTGTTTTCTACAAATCTTTTTTGCCGCGCTCTCGTTCAGAGACGAACATTGGAAGCAGGCTGGTACTCCGCGAGTGGATCTGATAACACACAATAACATATTACTTTACATCTTTTAAATCCGCAAAATTGGTATTTATTGAACAACGCTACCAAAATATCATTTATAAAACAAATGCAAAATACTTTGCATTGCAAGGCATTTATTTGAATTGAAAACTAAAAAAGTATATCTATGATATAAAAAATATACGGCAAAAATGAAAAGGATTGATAATGCTAAAAATAAGCAGAATAAAGTCCGTGTATTATAAAAATAATATTATATATACAAAGATTGTGAAAAATATGAAAGTAATATTCTTGACACGCACAAAATCACGCTGCACTTCTTCCAAAATACATTATAGCGGATTTTATTTACGCAAAAAAACTAACCTGAAGATATTTTCGATATTGCTACCGCCGCTTGCGATTGAGGCGGATGTTGAAAGCGATTGCGGTGATCCTGAAGAGGAAGCTATGCTACTAGGTCCTATGCCGGCGATACTGTGCCTTTGAACCGGTCCCGTATGCGATTGATGACGTATTTTTCCCGGTACTGCTGTGCCGGGTGCGGTGTTCAATCCGCGAAATTTAATTGCTTGTAGATAAATGACCAAATCTGATAGCTCCTTGGCTATTTGACTGCTCTGCTTTTGCGATTTGTCATCCACTGCTGGATCTGATTTTAAACGACTATGTGGCGCTTGATTGCCTCCCAAATATCTCTCGTAGCTTGAAATCGAGTTATCTGTAAATTACAGCTTGAGTTAGTACAATATATTCACTTGGCAAAATTTTTAATTGTGGTAATTAGTATACTTTTTAAACGTAATTGGCAAAATGGATTTAGGCATGAACTAGAAAGGAACAGTTAAATGAGATACAGTAACGATGTTGTAGCGTATTTAGTCAAATCTGGGCTTAGGAGAAATTAAGAATTCGATATCTCTTCGGTAATTATAGATTTATTCGATACCGCGGTATCGTTTACTAAATTTTCGCGAAACACATTTAAATATTAAATGTAGTATATATTGTTAATTGTTTTTACCATCGATATTATCATCCTCATCATCGTCCTCTTCGTCGTCTTCATCCTCGCTAAAGTATTCGACAACCGACGTGCTGCTCACGTCTGTCCGCATTTGTTTCATAGATGATGCGCGATCCGACATGAGCATCTTTCCGCGATGACTAAGGGGCGTGTGTGACAAGGGACCAGTAGGATCAACCACTAGTTTCTTATTTTTTATCAAGATTCGGTAACGAAGCTGCGATGGCGAAGGCAATTGTGGATCGTCACCGAAATCAGACTCGTAGAGAAATTTAGTCACCAATTTTTCGCCAAAAACAGACTGAAATGACATATTTCTTAATTGTAATACATTAAATTGTCATGCTATATATATATTTTTTCTTTTATATATATATATATATATATATATATATAAAAGAAGATAAGCTATTAACAATTAATCACATACCTGAAATATTTGAGCCATGCGAGCTTGCTGAGTTTGCGAACAATGATTCTCGATGGAAAGAATCACAGGATACGGAGAACTAACAAAAGCGCTTCGATCAATCGCTTCTACGACTGATCGAAACGGTATTTTAGTAGTAAACGTATGGCCGTGGTAAATTAATGGGGATCCATCATCGCCGTCCCAACAATCGAGCTCTACACAGCGGCATCCGGTTAGGAGTACCTAAATAAAATTTTATTATTAACAGTTATTAAGTTTATTTTTGCTAATTATGATTTGAATGAAAATTTAGATTACTTATTTTTAAAATCAATAAATTAATCGATCAATTCAAGTTTTATCTAATACAAAGAATATATTTGTTAAATTAATACAATTTTTTCAGTTTTTTTATTACATATAAATAAATAATATTGAATAATATAGAATCATAGCAAAATTAGCAAAATTAGTGCTCTTTTTGCTTATAAGCTTTATATTTACACGATATTTATATGTAATTTTATATAATATATTATATAATTATATTTTATATAATATATTATATAAAGTTGATACGAAATTATATAATATTTAAAAGTAGTGCACACCTGTGAATACAGTTGCACGGAGGACTCCCCTTTGAGCTGATGCCCGGTCAAATAAGTGTTGTGGGAACTAGCGATGTAATATTGTGATAGGGGCTGCTGCATCTCGGTTTCAGATGGTGTTGCATACTCGTTTGGGAAGGCATAATTGTCCTTGTCCATCATATACCGCGCAAAACCCTCGAAAGACAAACACCACTGTGTGCGAAGTGCTGGGTCCGGTTCGTGCCTCTGAAATGAGAGTAAACAGACACGCTTGATTGTATTACGTCGCATATGGTCGCCTATTGCAATGCGGCGGCGTATTGCATGAGCGAGGAAGTTGGCTCCTCTATTTTCAGCCAAAGTAAATTGAAATTACGAGTGTTTCGGAACTAGTAAGTTCATTATAACGGAATGAAAGGAAAGATCATTTATCGTCTTTAATGAAAACAGTTTATTCGTGAAATCAAATACAAACATACTAACTGTATACGTTAGGATATTAATATCGTATCTGCTGGAAAACGTTCAGAGAAATGAGGTAGTTGATCAAATATTTTTTCACGTCTTCTGACTTTGTAAACATTTACCTTAATCAGTGTCTTAATTTCCTCGTCGCTCATTTTTTCTTGCTGTCGAGACTCCAAGAATTTCGTGAATGTTGCTAGAGTGATCACTTGAGATTTCGATGTGTCCACACCGGAGCAATTATGGACGATGCTTGCCGCTGCGACGGCGTCAAAGATCTGCTTCTTTTGCAAATTACTGCTCGTTTTATACTCGTGACAGTCGATGGAGTTGTTTCTCGTCAGCAAACCTGACATATTCAAAAATGTTGATTTATTATTTTAGATAATATTTTAAAGTGGTTTTTTTAAATATGTAGATTGGATATAGTATTATATTATATAGTAAATTTTGGTATTGTAAATAAAAAATGTAAAAATGTCGTGTATCATTCGGACGGTATTGTACAAAAATCAGTTATCTTTCAATATGTATAAAAAGTCCATTATATACATAAACCGACAATATAAAATTTTACATTTAGTTTATTCAGAACTGTTGTTTAATAAATCAATATTTACATACATATATTATGATCACAGCGCGTTTCCGTTTTCACGAGAAATTTATTACTAGAGGTCTTCGTATATCCATATGCAAATTTATATTTATTGGAATTACATTGTTATATCAATTGAATCTCTATTGTCTTACCGATTCTTTGTGGGGTGGCGTCGCTGGTCTGCCTAAGCACCGCAGGACGAATGTTAAAATCCCTTAATGACCCGTCACTCTGACTACGACACGTGATCGCTAATTGGCCAAACAAATCCCGCAAATCTTTCCTGGCTCGTAAGCTGAATGATCGGAAAAGCGCAACGAACTCCACGAAGTTTAATTGCGTTTCGTACATAATTGAAGTAGTACGTGCTTTCACTTGCCAAGGTGATTCTGAGCCCCCAGGTATACCCCCGGATCCATTCTTGTCCTTTTCTCTGGCAACACACAACAAACTACGCGCGCGTTATTGCGAGGTGTACAAGAAAACTTGCCAATCATAATACAAATAATTAGATGCAAAATATTAATTTACATTGAAATAATATTTGCGCGTCAGTTGCGTAATTTTTTATCTCGACATTTTCAATCTCAATTTGTTCGCAAAGTTTGATTTAAGACGTATTTCTGATTTATATAATCCTTATATTGGAAGTTACAAGAAAATCTGTCATGCTAGGAAATATGTGTGGAATGATGTACCTTTGAAAAGTGGAGTAAGGCAAATTGGAACTGACGATACGGTCAGCGGCACCGGGCGGGCTACGTGGCGGAATTCGGTCTCGACTTGCTCTTGGTGACGCTGGTAAGATCCTCGTTAAGGATTCCCTGCTGCCCGTAATATGACGAAGAGGTGTAGTGGATAGACCTCCATCCGAGGACGAAGAATCGTATTGTTTTAGACTCAAATCCTATATTAACCCACGATAATTCGATTTAGTAAACACGTTCACGCGAAAATTAAGTACTGCTTTTGCAGAAATCACTGCGCTACATTTAGCAGAAGAAATGCTAACCTTTGTTAAAGCGTGAATGTTGCCAATTGATTTTGTCTTTTTGCCTTTAACGTTTCGTCTACGTAGAGTACTGCTGCTTGTTGGAGACAATGTGCCAACACTTTCTGTCATGGACCAATCCCGACCGCCGAAAACGCGTATAGCATCGGCTGTCGTCGGTTGTTCCATGCCTTCCATAGGCTGTTCCAAATAAGAAAAGTACAAGTGAAGATACTTTTCTTTCAACCAGCGCGATCTGCGATCCGTTAATTGTTGCTGTCGTTTGAGGCCTCGCAATATCCAGCACAATCCCATATACCATATTCTGAAAGCCAAGCAACATACCCATAATTTATATAATCTAACAATATATAATAAGAATATATATTTATCCATAATTTGTGAATTATTAGAGAGAATTGTTAGAATTGCTCGAAATGTATGTATATATATTTGCTATTATTAATGTATTACTTTTCAATAATACGTCATTAATAATATATTATTAATGCATTCAATGTGGGAAGTTCTATAGGGAAGAAAGAATTATATTAATGATACATTAATTAACTTGCGCGGCAAACTCGGAGCTTGTAACATACAAAAAACAATTAAATTTAAACCAAAAAAATATTCGCGAAGTAATCTTTAATTCTAATATGTTAAGAAATTTTTACCACCTAGAAAAATCCGTTTTATAAAGCGGAGGCATATTTCTAATTATTCATCATATTTTTAATTAAAGGCGCAAGAAGCGATTCATTAGAATAATATATTCATCGATTATACAATAATTATTTGGAGTATTTCTCGTTATTTCGAATATTGTGTTCTATTGTTCAGTAAAGTTTTTTATACATACTTGCTAAGGGCGGGAGGGCAAAGTAGGAAAATCAGTCGATTGTCCGGAAGGTTGGATCCGTACATGAGGCCGATACAGGAGTCGGAGCCGGGTAGGCCGTATCTCTTGCAGATGCTTCTGAGATCAGCCTCTCGGTCGCGGTCGCAGCAGCCAATCATTATTTCCTTCACCGATCCTAGGTCCAGATATCCTTCTTCCAAAGTGACGAAAGCGCAGTCAGCCTGCGGCTGCGTGTACCTACTGACTAGGCCCGCTGGCACCGTGTCCTCTGGATTCGCGGTCAGCGAAAATTCTGTGAGAGCGGTACCGCCGACTTGCGCCGTTTTAAGGGGACTCCAAGGTGGCTTTTCCCAAACGAAAGTGCTACAGGCGCGATCGACGCGCGCGAATACCAATGCCGTTCTCGATGTACCGCCCTCGCAATCCCAATGCACCAAAGTCGTGCCATGATGGAGCACCTGAGACATAAATTATTTAGAAATATATGTAGATGAATAACACACCGTATCGTATGTCTTATGCGTTCGATAAAGATATTTCACCGTTGAATATTTTATGTATTACATTACTTTGGCTACGTAATTCACACAATTTCACAATATGTCTGCGTATCACTGCCATAAATATTTTTTATTTGTTTTTTTTTCCTTAGCATTTTACGAGGAAGATTATTATTTTTTTTCAATTTTTTAGTATTAAACATGTTAATAAATGACACGTCATGTTAAAGTTTTGTAAAAAACTGCTGGGGAGGGAAAGCTTTTATTTTTAATATTGCATAGTTAATTGAATTTTTACCATTGATGTCTTGACATTGGAATTAATTGTTCCTTTAATCATTGCTCTTTATTTAGCAATTAGTATTTGCAAACAAACAACATAATTTATACATAAAAGCTTTTGAACATTGTTATACTTTCATCTCATCGATAAAAATATTATGTAAACACAAAGTATAAAGCCCACATTTGATTTTGTCTAAAGCGTTTGTCTACCAATTTTTATGTAGCAGCAAATGAATTACTTTCATAATGTCGTTATTTTTAAAAACAGAAAACGGGCGTCTGCTGCGTAAATATAAATATATTAATTTCAGCGTGCAAGGCACTCGCTAGAACGAGGTCATTTTCGCGACTGCGTCGCACCAAGCTTGTGACAAAGTATTAAATGTCGTGAATACATTTATAACATTAATGGAGCTCATAATGTACTTATTATGCCGTTTATTTGGTTGTTTTTTAGTACAACATACATGTACTAAATACTTACTGCACGTACACTCGTAATATATGTAGATATAAATTCATTTATTTGAATCAAGTTATTTATCGGTGATTAATTGAAGATAATTAAATTTATAACATCCCGTGAAATAGCATATGTAGGTTTGCATTTAAGTTATTACAGGAAGGAATTATACATTATATATTACTAATATATCGATACTAATATTAATATTGAATCTTTAGTTTAACTTTTTGTTATAAACGCATGATAATATATTTCAAGTCCATTACATTTTTTATTATCATGAATAAGGAATACAATAAGATGAATAACGAGAAATTTGTTTGTGCATGTCAAAATTGAACAAAATTATATCATTGTTAATGAGTTTCAGTTTTTGTCACTATCAATGACGAATTTAATTATTTAATTTAATTTTTTATATTAATTTATATCGGTTGGATTTTTATTCATTTCTGTTTTTGTCGCTACATCGAATTATCCTTTAGATTTCTCGTGTTTACGGCAGAGATGCTGTTCCATTAAAAAGTATCATCCTTGTTTAAACGTCAGAGAGTTGCAATTTTTATGATGGCTTGTTAAAAAGGCGCTAACTCAAGCGTAAACTTCACGTTTTAAAGTTTGACATTTGTCATCCAATTTTTATGACGCTTTTGAAACGACGAGATCGCTTTTCGAATATAGAACATTTTAAAGATATTTGGCTATTCTCTTTGATTATGTATACTGGACGCAATTTGAAGCTGATTTTTCATTAACATAAGTTAAGAAGTATATGAATAAATTAAAAATTCCCAAATACATAATTACAGCAAAGTTTTATTCAAAGTTAAACCCAAGTGGATTTTATTAACTTTTTATCTTACTAATATAATGTGAGATTTAGTTGTTAAAATATTCTATATTAGAAATAAAAAAAATATTTCAGAAGCTAGATGTTTGTTAAAAATATGATCGAGATTGATTTTAGTCAAAGAATTCATAAATAAAAGTAATTGTAATTGTTTGCGGATGATTTGATATTTCATGTACATACATATATCTATTTATGTTATTGTTAAACTAATTCTCTCTATGAGGTTATCCGTGAAGAGATTGAATCGAGAAACTTTGTGTAACTTCTGCCGAAATATCCTCACTTACGACATGGATCCTATGTGGATCCACACGTTATATATCTTGCAAGAACTCTGCGTAGCAATACAGAGAATTTCATAATGCATCGGTGTTGCGATGAATTTCGTGATGGATAACAAATTTATTTGTATGAATTATTTTCTCCACAAATACAACGTGTTCCATTTTTTTCTCTTGCCACTCAATTAACGCTGACAATTGGTGACTCGATTCAAAAGGATGACCTGGTTTTGCGTGCTGCGTTACAACATTTTTTTCATCAGTCCTTTGATTCGTTTGCCGCAGAGAGTTTTCTCTCCCTCCCTGTCTCATCCTTTCGCGCATTTTTCTGTTTCCTCTCTAATTTCCACGAGGTTTGTCAGGGATAGGGTATAAGGCTAGCCCCTTTGAAATTCTTTTGATGTGCGGCAAACTACGTGCTGACAGTATCTTTTATCTCAATGACGCAACGCCATGGAAGAAGCGTCATCGCAACATTAATATCTCGAAATCGTCCAGTGGTAATATATTTGTATGATGATGTTAGTTTCTCAAATATCGGCATTTTTTAATGAAAATCTGTACACTCTTCTCAATACACAGATTGTACAAATATAAATTATTTACTTTCTTTATTTCGATTATGCGCTGTGGCAAGAGGAGATTTGCTAAGGTAGCCAATATAATATGAGACGCGAATATTCTTCCGATACTTTCTTTTGTGACTCACATAACTTGGACGGAAAACTACGATCTAAGGATTTTCTATCTCTCTTTGGCTATAATATCAAAGAAAAAAGGTATACGTGCGTAGGTGTTTAAATTTCAAAGGCAGTTTTCGAATTTCTTAGCAAAATAGGAATTTCTTTCTAGCGTTCGACGCAGTTAGATGTGATAGTATTATGAAAAAAAATTTTAAATTATATTTGTTATTGTATGTTTCTGTTATATAAATCTCAATTTTCTGCATCGATCAGTAAATTAATATTAATGACATATTAATTATATATATTAAATATAATCTATACGTTGATATAATTTTATAGTTGTAAATGTATTATTTATTTCAAGTAATTTATAATTGCAATGTAAATATTTAATAATTACAATGTACATACTTTATTAGACGTTATATGTATATCGTTTTGCATTATTTCTTTGATAAGTGATCGTTTAAAAAACATTGCATAAAAGATTATATTTCCTTTGTTTCTTTTTAAGTAACATTAAATTTCTTTTCTCAAATAAATTTTAAAAATATTTATTAAGTTTGGCTTCTTCAACTTTTATAAAAATGTTTGGAATAGATAACAAAATTTTATTAATGGCTCAACATTGAGAGTTTAATAAAACTTTCGAATGTAATAAATATTCTTTTCATTTATTATGTTTTATATTCAAATAGAAAATGTTACGATAAAAGGTGTGATTGAAATTTATCAAAAAATCTATACTTGGAAGGATATTTGATACTGCAGTACCAAATATCTCTATGTTTTGTCCTACTTGCAAACAGTATGCTTTTACGTGTTATGGTTTATAATATAATATGCGTGATGTGTTTTGATTTATAATAATATCATTGTAATGTGGGCTGCCAATTTAGACACTGGGCTTATCGTCCAATAATTTTTGCGTAATGCGTAATTTGCTAATGACGCGTCAAATAACATATTGTTAAACATTGCGATATAGATCGCAGGGGAAAACCACCTCAATGTTATCCAATTCTACTGCAACCGTAACGGCGCGTCAGGATCAAAAGCGAACCTGGCATCGCTTCGCATTGTGCGACAAATCCTGCACGTTCAATATTTGCAATGCACTTCACGTGCAGTATCGTGATGTCATATATACAATTGGCTGTGTGACGTCAGTCTCACAATTTCAAAACTATCACAGTCATCTCAGACAAAGCGTCTGTGTTTTTGATGAATAATTTAGACGCAAAATAGTGTGCGAATGCTCGCAAGTATTGCACGATTTCATAAAGCGGGAATTGCATTGTGGAAATTTTTAAAATGTCAATGATTTGAATGCCATATTTAATTAACTTGAAATGTGATCATTTTTTATATACTCTAAAATTTGGAATCTTAATCTATTCGAATCTTTACACATTACTAGTCGATATTATAGATCAATTATTAATTGCTGCTTACGTTCGAAGCTGCTTATGTCCGAGATATTCGAGATGGCTAGACGCTCATTTATTTTGCTTTGAACTGTTCGAATAATTTGGACAAAACGTTCGAATTTCTTGTTCCAGCCTTATTCTAAATGTTGCTTTCTACAATTAATTTTTTTTAACTTTTTTAAATTTTTCTAAGTAATTTAAATATAGATATTTTATTTGCATTTCCTTGTATGTACAGTGATTTGTAAAACTCTGTCGTAAACTGTTTAAACCACGAGAATATTTTTATTTTTCTCTGCTTGATTATTTCGACACAAATGATTACTCAAATGATTTAGAGAATTTAAATTTTATGATTAATTGGGTAAAATATTTATCTTTTTTTAATTAAATTGAAATATTTATCTATAAAATAAAAGCTACACAGTGGAAGCAGACATATTGTAAATAATTCGTGAATATATATAGTTTTAACAGTGAAGTTGATAAAATTACATTTCCGTGTGAAATATGAATTTGCTGTAGAATACAACAATGTACCTGTAAGAGATGAAGATCCATGCCAGTGTGTGGCGCGGCAACGGGAAACAAAGCGACTCCATGATCGATTTTGATCGGTTGTACAGGCTTGTAGGAGTCCAAATCGAGATGATAGTCGTTCTCGTCGCATTCCTCCGCCATGTAGGTTTGCTCGATTGCGGTCGTGTGAACGCTCAGAGTGCGATGTAGAGAACCAGTAGTTGCGTCTCTGCCACGAGCATGCCGATGCTTACAAGAAAGATATTTCTCGTTAAAACCATCAAATCATTTAACATATATATATATATATATCGGAGAAAATTGCTTGAATAAATAATGCTGGCGGTATAAAGATAAAAGTTTGATACACTACGTAACTTATGAAATAAATTATTTCTGCATCAATAAAGTTTAATGATATTGTAATATTATTTATCTAGTTAATTTGATAAATGTTTGAAGCTAACAATTGTAGTGTTGTTTATTCGAATATTTATTTTCTTCGATTTATACCTGAATATAAGCAATATAACGAATCACAATTGATGCGACATTACAAATTATTTATTATTAAGGACTGGTTGTTACTTCTTGATAGACCTGTCAGTTATCTAAAATAAATATTAGTAATTCTTACTCGGTGATTAAAGAATCGAATAATACCTCTTGATAATAACAATTTAACCCGTTGATACACTTTATCAACAGATAGAACAACAGTTATTGATATTTACTAATATTTATTTTAAGTAACTGAGGGATAAAGTCTACCAAAAAGTTGGAAGAACCGGCCCTAAGATCGGTATATAGCTGATCAATTGAATACTTGTTTTACCTTATGAAAGAGGGCAACTTTGTCGAGAACGGAATTTGTATCGTGTACAGCGGGGTTCTCTGGTTTGTTCAAGAAGCCACTTCTCGAACTCCATCCCGATGGCGTTTCTGTATTACTCTCGACGGCAATTCTGGCAGCCGGCGCAGACAAAGGCACGTGTTCTTGAGGTTCGCGCTCTTTAACATTACCACGTGGTGATTCGCGATTTTCCCTGTACTCGAGGTGAGGCTGAAACATGCCGAGTCAAAGATATTCCTCAGAAGGTTTTCCGTTAAATTTTCTAGAACCTATCTACACTAATAATTTGATAACAATTGCTGTTGCTTTATATGTGTTATTTTACATCGTCTTAGATATTTATTAAGATACTGAGGAACAATTATTACTTTTGACAAGATATATTTTATTTCAAGAACGCAGACTCTCGATAATCCGAGTAATGGAGCTGTTTCTCTGTTCTCGAAAGTCTTGTTTTTAAAACGAAAATCGATCATTTACAATTTCCTCTTGAGATGCTCTCGAAATCTCGCCTGTTCATCAACAAGAGCATTGGGTGTCTCGATAAGTACTAACATATAAAGTGCCTTTTCACAAGTGTAAATCACTCGACGATATCTTGTACACGTGAGTGAACATTGAAAAACTGAGAGGAAAGTGTCTCGTTTTTCTTTCTGTGCCAGTGTTTTTTGCCAGTGTCTGTGCATTTTATGGACTGTGCAATAAAATTAATTTATAATTAACAAGTTATTATAAATTACAAAAAATTAGAATATACTTAATCAAAAATATCCAAAATAATCTTTATAACACAAATCTTTTAATCCAGTATTTATAATATAGATTAATAATATATGTAAAAGTTATTTTTTATTTGCTGGTAGAGTAAGCTATTGATAAACCTTACAGAGGACAATATTGTGTCTTAACCAGAAAAACTTTAAAATTAAAAATTTTTTAATAAAAATTTTTTAATAAAAAAAGTTTTGTACCTATATAAATTTCTTTTACATATTAATTTATTACTGTTCCTGTGGAAAGTATATTTGTTTATTCTTTTGGTATTATCTATAGGTAGTAATCGGCAAAAAATACGGCAACAGAGACGTAACATTTTGTTTTTCGAAGTTTAAAGCTTGAGACTATTCGCGGCGGACGTGATGCCGGACGAATGAAGCGACTTTCACAGTGTCTGTTGTTCAACCTCATTACCCTTCCTCCCCCTTTAACATGGAGATGTACGCCACAGAGCGTACGTGCCGATGAGGGTGCGACCAGTAACATAACGGGATAACAGAGCGATGCACATCGGCTTGGCGTATATCCTTGCGCCGCGTCGATGCCGATTTGAAATTCCACCTGCGAGTCGCGACATTCCGCGTCGTATACGTTCAGTTGGCAGATTATCTTCTAGATAGAGAGAGGGGGGAAGGGGGAATAGTGATAATGAGGTGCATTTACACTGCACTTTCAATAGTTTAGAAGACAAAATGTGTCGCTTATTTTGCTCCCATAATATTAATCGATGTTGAATTCATTTGAATATAATTAACAATTATTTTAATAAAATGCAAATGGTCGAGACACGAATAATTATTTCGTAAGCTTCTTATCTACTTTTATTAATGGGGTGCATAATTGTGTACAATTTCACCGAGAATTTATTATATTATACATGATAATGCATGTAGAGATATGCATTGTAGATGTAAATATTAATCACTTATTTTAACAAACCTGATAAACATTTATTTATTTTTTTTTTTTTAATTGCTTTACACTGTATCTTTACGATACTCTCACGTGGCTGGAACCGGATAGAAGTCTAATTACAATTTTGGCGACGCCAAACGCGTGCTTGGTTTTAACGATCGGCGACTCCGTGAACCCGTTGCGCAAGTTAAGTTTCATGGGCTACTCTTAGAAGCAGCGATTTTCATTGCGGGAGCTCGATGTGCTCTCACCGAATAATGTGACGCTGTAAAAGTGAAGAAGACAGGGCTATTCCGTTCCCCAATGATGATCGTTAGCGACAAGAGCAAGTAGTTTCCGCCGGCCTACAACCATCGTAGCTGCTGGAGGCCGATAGAAACCCCTTTCCTTGTCGCTTTTAAAGTGTCGCTTCCACCACTGCTCTCCATTATATTGCTACTCTTCATGAAAGCTCATCGAAGAATTTTGTTGTGCAATTATTGGTGATTGCGCCCGAAGTAATTGTGCTTAAATCGCTAACTTTGCACTTTTACTCAGATATTACACTGATTTTTTTTATTTGACACTTGTGATCGATATAATTGTCTTATCAATAAAAAGTTTACTATCGAAAATTGAATTTCTCTGAATTTTCATACGTCTTTAGTACGACGTTTGACAGATTATTTTCTCAAATAAGATTTTTGCAAATTTAAATATGCATTTTTAAGTTTTGACATATTTTTTTAAATTTATTCCAATTTTAGTTTCTCTTCTGTAAATCAATTTGCCATAGTACACCTTTTTTCATCTTTTAAATAGACAAATATTCGCTCGTCGTGTCATTGACTGCTTTTGTTCCTTTGGTTATTCTGCAGCTTCAGTTGTGATGCGTTTGAGATCGTTGGATTTCATTCGTGTATTTCTTTGGCTGGTTGTCAAAACACATACTTGAACTTTTCTGCGAAAGCATTTAATTTCTTATGAATTTTCTCCTCAACGTAGCTGTTTTTCTCCGTTGCATTTTATACGCTTGACCATATGAAAAGATCGACTGATAATCGGCGAAGTTAAGCGACTTATTCTGTTTAAATTAAATAATCTTCCGCTCGATGAATATCTTGATTATTCAATCCTCCTCTTACGTTGATAATAAATGTAATCTTCGTAGCAGGCTCAAGTAACGCAAAATTACTCGGTAAATATTTTAGCGTGGAAGAAAAGCTAGGATGCAAGCGCTGATGTATAATATATAGCAGTGCTTATGTGAATAAATTGAAATAACGTTGATCTATTTATAATAAGACAGCATAGAACGACACACCAATATTATTCATGCAAGTTTTTTTTTTTAATTTTGTTAGAGCATATAAAGTGCAATATTGTATGAATGATAAAAATAACATAATCTTTTTGTATTTACCTTTATATCGCATGATGCAATGACTTCTCGTAGCTCGCGCAAGAAGGCTCCAAAGAATGGAACCACCGGACATTCCGGCATTGCGAGAGCACGGGCAAGCGCACGCTCATATTCGGAAGACAGAAGGGCGGAGGAAAGATATTCCATAACCGGTATTTGCTCGTTTACACTGTGCCAAAACGGCTTCAGCTTATTGGACCTGCAACACAATAATGTTCATCCGCAATTAGACGAAGCAATCGAAACATATGTTTCCAGATTTACGTTTTGAATCGTTTGACAACAAAAATGTGCATTATTTTTTAAGTATTCTAAAAGTAATGCGCAATAACATTATTAATATTGCTAATAATGCAATGATAATTTTAAATAATCCATTTTAAAATTGAATAATTACTTATGAAACACGTGTATAATTTATCATAAATCAAACGATCAGTGGATATTATTTAAATAGGATTTAATCTTTTAAGTATAATATCCAGTCGCCAGTATATCGAACAGCTATTTGTATTCCAGATAGATTTTTTGCCTCGTACACTAGCAGTTATTAAAATCACGAAGCATTTATTATTATAATGTTTATTATCTTTTCTCTTTAAACGTTCTCCACAGTGCAACCGATTAGCTCTGAATGGTTGAGAATATTCCAAGCGTGTGCAGAACAGCTAGTGGCGCAACGGTCGTTTCGAAAACGATATTCGCACACGAAACTTTTATCTTCTCATTTACGGGGCAAACACATAGGATGTATAACTTTACAGTCTCGGCAATAAAAAGTATTTTATTTTTACACACACCGGCTTCCGATGGGAACAAATATAAAGGTTCTCTACCGTGCCACTTATGGCGAAATTCATTTGCGGGCGTAAAAGCACGGCGATTAGTGACGAGCGTCGTTATTCGCGAGAAAGATGAGAATGATGACTGAACGGGGGCATAAACTGGTACGCAGGTTCTTCTAGAATTTCTGTTACCGGCGATATTACCCTCATCGATGTAATTTCCTTTGTAGCTTCCGAGTTGGCGATTGAACGGACGATAGTTATGACCTTTCGGTTAGAGTCGGTAGCTGCCGATATCGATATATAATACATTTTATTAGAACTGCGTACTATCAGTAATACTGCAGTACAAAAAGCAGTTAAAAATTTATTGGCGGCTAAGGGAGTCACGATCTTAAACTTTTGAAGTGGAAATAAATTTCGGTCGTTTTTTTTTTTGCTTTATATTTTTCTTTTTATGGAAATAAATTTTTGAAATATTCAAAGATGTTTTCTACATTTTAATTTGCATGTAAAACGTCAATTAGAACAGATGTTTGATAATAGTAAATTTAGCAAGTTTTCAAGCAGTTTTTTTTGGGAAAGAAATAAGAAATTTAATAAAGTATCTATTCTTCTTTAGAATCGGTTCTTATATCGGTTATAAAGAGCTCCTCTTTCATATAGAAAGTTCTTGAAGTATTTTTGGTAAATTGAAACGAAATGTTGCTTTATGAGCAAATGAATTTTAAGAGCAAATGTTTAATATAAATTATGCCAAATTTGATAATAGAAAATGACAAATACGTAAAAGACGACGATTAATCAACTTCCCGAGTGAATTTTTTTCAAAGCTGTGCTACATTCTTGAAAATTTTGTGAGGCGCTTTTAATATCTGTCGTACGGACATCGCCTGTATACTCTTTTTCAATAATTCTTGCATGGGACGAGAATGAATTATTAAATCTTTAGAAGAACGATTTTACAGATGACTTTACAAAGCGCAATTTAGAGCTAGTTGTTCCAACTTCTCGGTAGATTTTACTTCTCAGTTATACTAAAATAAATATCAGTAATCCTCGGTAGTTGGAATACCGAGTAAAATCTCATGGTAATAACAATATAACCTGTAGGTAAACTTTATCAACAGATAGAACAACAATTACTAATATTTACTGATATTTATTTTAGGGAAGTCTATTAAAAAGTTGGAACAACCGGTCTTTAATTACACTTGTTGATCTTTGGAAAATTAATGGTACACATTCACTAAAAATTATTCGAATTGTTTTTCAATGGAATATTATTCCACTTCTGAAATATCGGTTTGAAATAGGTCGCATTTTCGAAAGAACTCTTTGTGAAATAATACGATTACGCCACTGAGTGGTTTCGGGAAATAAGCAGAGTATTGGACCGAGGAACATTTGCAGAATGAATTACGTGTTGTGGTAACTTGATAAAACTTTTACGAAATGCTCTCGATAAAACATAGAATACAATAATAAATGTTAAATTTATGAATCGAAGATCGCTTTTCTTAAAAAACAACTGAGCATAAAATTCTTCAATAATTTCAGAACATTTACAAATGTTTCCAAAATTGAACATTCGTTATTTCTCACAATTATTACTCTATTCTTGGAAGATTTTATTTTATGCGAAATAACACAAATTGACTTGAGAAACAAAAAGGCTTTTTATTTTTTGACTTGTTCTAGTAGTTCACAACAAATAAGACTCGAAGTGTATACATTTCATCTCTGAAACAGTAAATCTGAATGAAAAAGAAGTCTCAGTATAGAGAAATATGATTTCAAGATTCCTTTACTCTCACTGATGAAGATTAATTGAGCGAGCGCGACCTCGGAGTCGCAACGTCATGTGACATATCGAAGAAAGTTTTAGGAAAAGCTTTGAGTTTCGGATTAGTATCACAAACTTGTGTGGATTATATATGTTTCACATGTCTTTAGTGTACGTGTTTGTGCACATATTAGACATACTTTGCCTCAATTCCTAATTTATTCATTTGAAATTCATGGGTTGCAAATTCAGAGATAAGAACTTATATTATACACGGAGAATAATATAATTAAAAAGGGAATAATTATTAATAATTAAAAAGGGAATTATATATTAGAAATAATAGTGCATAAATTAACGTGAGCGACTAATTGGATAACTATTATATTAAGATTCTACGTGCGATACAGATTATTACAAATATAAGATTAGTTATTCAATATTTGAACAGTGTGACACTTGCTACGATTCTCTTGTAATTTTCGTGCTAATTTAATAAATCAACCAATTATAATTGTTATATCGCACAATTATAGTTGCGCGTACAGTAAGCCAAGTCTCTAATCCGATCGAAACTCAAGACTGACACGATGCGTGCTGCGGTCGTCTTCCGTAATGATCTATCGGTGTCGACAGCAACTTTGCCCTGCGGTTAGATGCTTATAGTGGATGAAGATGGATGGGCTTCCGTAATGTGCGGAAACCCAAGTAATTATATTATGATTTTCGTACTTAGTCGAAGCGATACAAGCTTGAGTGTCTGGCTTATGAATAAAATGTACGTATACTGCGAGAAAGTAAGAGGTAGTGATTCAAAGATTGATCTTTTAAGAAGGGGATTTAACGACGATATTTTCGACAAATATTGTATGTACTTACTTCAAACCGGCAATTATCTCCATGGCTGAATTAAAGTTGCCGGTATTCCAACAGGTTAGAGCGACGCGTAGCAGACAGGACAGCACCGCCTGTCGTTCTTCTATCGTAGCACCGCTGGTGATTGCGTGGGTGACCCATGTGCTTACCTGATTAACAATTGTAATAATTGTTTTATTAATGATTATGTATTATATATCTTTATATATGATAATTTTGTATTTCCTGAATGCAAATTTATTACGACGATTTATGCTTCAGTTTTTTTTAGATTCGATGCCAAGTAATTAATATATGGCGCTTTGAAGTCGATTATGAACGCGATTGTGAAAGTTTGATGCTTCCAATATTTGCATTAGCGCAAACGCGTGTTTAATTGTCAAGTTAGTTATGTGTAATTCGGTATTAAAATAATATAAGAAATGTGGCATAAGCAACGACTGATATATTAATTTATAATTTTATCACATTACTACTTTGACTTTTATTGATTTTTACGTTTTACAAAATAAAATAAAGTTATTCTTTTGCAAGGAAGTTGAGGAACACATTGCAGTTTTCCGCGAAAAATGTCATCTAGAATTTTCCAACGGCTCTCTATTCCAAGGCTTTTGTTTAGCACGATGGTAAAGAGAACGATGCGGGAAGCAGGGGGGGATGGAGAACCCAACGTTTTCAACCTTGCGCAAGGATTTAAAGGAGGAAATGACAGTAGGGTGGCGGGGACGAGTATGCGAGGTCAGATGGTATCTGTGTACCGCGTACGTGTGTGTGGATGTGTTTGTGAGACTAGAGTAGGGTGAAAGTGTCGAGCGAAAACGTACGGAAAGCCACTGGAGAAGTGGATACCTCATTAAAAACGGCTGATGAGAGTTCCCGCGAGACTGAAGACCGGAGGTTCTTGGCGCGGAGTCTTTCACCGATTGTGTTTATTACTATGGTACATTATCGTTACGGTACATTATCACTTTCCTTTTTCATTGTTCGCGCTCTATATTATGATAAGGCATTTCGTTTATCATTAAAGACAAATTTACGAAACAAAGTCCGTCGTGTCGTCTCTCACAAACGACAAGCGCTCGCGTGCCGTCGTGAAGGTAAACAGATTGATTCGTGAAGAGCGTGAGTACGAGCAAATTAATGTACCTCATTAAAGCGATCGATGAGAGTTTGCACGGTGGAGCACACCGTGACGACAGGCCAGGAAGATTCGTCCTCGGTTTGGGTCGAGCTGTTGGCGGTGCTGGGGTTGCTGTAGCTGCGACTCGGCGACGGGGGTGGCCTGGCAGGTGGTTTCTGCAACGTGGTCTGATCCTGTGCCACGTGCCTTAGGTACTCATGCGGTGGTACCTGATAGAATAGTTGGTACTCGCTTTCCGTCAACCTGAGCGCCACCTCCTCGGGGAAGTGCAGCAGCTTGTGCAGATCCTCCAGCTCCTCAGAGCTCCGAGGCGGCTGCGGCTGCGGCCGCTTCTCCAGCTCTGAAAGATAAGGGAGAAGTCAATGAAATTTTATTGAAAATTGAATGGCATTATTATTTTCTGTTGTGACTGTTAGAGAAACATATTTTGATAATATTGAAATTATATTAAAATTAATGATTATATCTATGTTCGTCATAATGTCCCGTTTATGTTTTTATTTTATGTTCAAAGATCTCTTTTAAGACGATACAGAATGTACAATGTTTTAGAGAAAATATCCCGAACTGATGCTTTAAACATGATATCGAGCGCAGAAAAGATAAAATAAAATGGCTTTGCTTTAGGATTTTCCGATAACGTGTATAATCGTACAAGAAAAATAAGAACACAGAAAGTCATATTTCATAAAAAATTCTAATATAAACACAAAGCAGTGATGTTTTGTAACTACAAGTTTTTCTAAAATGACATTTTGCCAGTAATTCTTGTACGTAAAGCATTTTGTAATATTTATTGTTACATTTTGTCAGAAATATTATACACGTCATGCAGATTTTATTTATTGTTGAATGCGGAAGAGTTATTTATTGGTTACTTAAATTTCATATAAGTGATATTTTTGACTAATTGTCGAAAGATTAATAGAAAAGATTCGTATATTCATCTGTATTGAGGTTTTAAAGATTCGAGCCGAAAAATTATATTTACATAATTTTATTTGGTCGGTATTAATAAAAATTTGGTAGAAACTGTTTCTCTTTTTCATATTATGTAATTACACGTATTGTCCCATGTTTGCATGCACGCCCCAAGCATGTAGCGTCAAAATTTATATATAAAACACGCGCTGCAATCAGGTCACGCCTAATGAACTGCGATAATCTTCATATTCAATTACATTTGAATTCAATATTAACATAATATTTATTAAATCGCCTGAATTATAATTTAAATATGTGTAAATCCGGTATGATGAAGTTTACAGATGGTTAATGGTGAATATTTCAATCAATTTATTTTGCGTAATATTGTGACCGTGCATTTTGAAGCTGCATCGCCACTGATTGACGTTTCGAATGCGCCAATTTGCCAAAGAAACATAGTGCAATTTTTTGCTCATCGTTTAACATTTGCCGCGCGAAAAGGTCAGCTCAACGATGGTTTTTCATCTGTGTGAGCGGTGCACGAAATTCAACGCGATCGACGAATAAAAGCGCCCTTTAGATCTTTGATGAATAATTCCGCGCTGTGCGGATATCGAGCTTTATCGCTGATGCTACGAAATAAAAACGCAGCTCACGATATTTTAAATTCCGACACCCGGTACAAAACAACCTAACGACTGTGAAAATAAAAGCAAAAAAATTTATGCGCTTGTGCAATCAAGGAAGTTTAAAGATTGAAATTTCAAATCTGCTGTTACTAGTACTTAATTGTTAGTAACTTAATTGGTTTTTTTTTTATTTTTTTTATTTTTAAAGCTTTTCTTTTATAAGTATAGATATACTTTTTTTATTAATGAAAGACAAAATACTCAGTTTACCGGAGTACAAAAAAAATTAGAATTTTTATATCGCTGACCTAGTTTCCTAAATACGATTGAGAATGCTGTATCTCGTTAGACTCGAGTACCAGTGTAACGCGTACTTATGAGATGACACAGAATTGTGCGAGTGCATTCATTCGCAGCGACATTCGCAGAGTGTCATGCAATAATTCGAGGTATCTCGAATATTGCGAGCTTCATATTTGCCTCCAGCAATAGAATAATACGCATGATGCTGCGTGCGTTGCATATTTTGGGTTTTTAGTTGTTGATATTTATTTTTCCATATGTTCGAAAAATTGTTATTACTTCACTGAACTTAGGTTATTGCATCATTTTCGTGTATTTTTGATATAATGTAAAATATATATTTCCTCAACGTTTCGTTACGTTATTCAGATGAATTGTATAATAATGATTCTTTTAGAAGAGAGAGAAAAATGTTCTAATATAAAAATTTATTTCATTGCAGCTTGTATTCTAATTCGGTGCAAGCACGATGCTTTCGGCGAGATTGAAACAGAAGTAAGCAGATGGAAAGAACTATTATAATAAGGTATGCGACAAAAAATATAAAAAAGTTTTATATTTGTTGATGTTAGTTTAAGCACGAATGCAAAAGAATTTAATATTCGCGTAAGTAATTTTATTTTATACCGTAACTATGTGGTAAACAAAGTGGAAAAGAATTTTAAATCTTGTATGTCTTATTAAAATTTTAATAACGAATATAATTCATAATATATGTAACGTAAATGGATATTGCAAATCAGAAGATTTTAAATATTGAACACGCAAAATGCTTGAAAATAACATTTTATTCCGGTATCGAGCATTATTATTATTATTCAGTGCGCTTCTTCCGGACATAAGCGAAACTATTAAACTGTATTTCTACAATATGATCTCTTTAGGAATGCGTATTGCAATATCTCACAATTACTTTGTTGTGAAACTTATGCTCGCCTTGTAGAGCTTGCGGTAAGTAGGATTCTTGGACGGCTTTACGATAACATTTCTAACTTGCGAAACGCAATTTCTCGAGAAATGTTTGAGGCGAGCATACCTCTTAAACAGAGTAATTGTTGATATCGCGATACGCTATTGGTTTCTACGCATACTGCTCTTATTCAAGTCGATTATCACGTGATGTATGGCGTAAAATGGACTGGTGGAGTTTGCATATACACGCTCGTCCATCAATGTCTTTAAGCAAACCGCCTACTACTAAGGATCTTAAGCTCCCGTGCAAACATACCGAGTGTGGACAGAGTAGTTAGATCATACCCTGGCGTGCTTTCCAATGTATTTGCAGCCAATTGGTGAACCTTTATCAGATAGTAGTGCGATAACCCGATGAAGAGATTAATCAACATATCGGACTAGACAAATGGTTCTCGCATTATCATAGCGATTAAATCTTATTTACGAAACAGTTGCTTTAAATTTAACAAGTCCTTTCATATTATATGTATTATTAAGCTTGCAAGCAAGTTAAACAAAACAATTTATTACGCATACACATATATAAAGCTTCCAAAGATTTTCATGTCTTTTAATAATCTCATTCAACAATCTCAGCAGAACTTATGAGATCGTTTAGACTAATAAAATTTGCCGTACGATATTACACAAGCATTTTGTATGCGATTTAAGCTTATAACGAGATAAAAATCTGGGTTGTATGTATAATTTATGTATTTATTTTTTTCATTTTGAAATAACGTCAAAACATTGTATATTAATGAGCACACATGATATTCCGAAACAAAACGTGAAAATTGCATTAAGTTGATCATTTCGGGATAATCTATCATGTTGAAACAGGCGCTTATCACATACCGCAATCATTCAACAGAAGTATATATGATTCGACAGAAACATACACTTTTGATAGAGCTTACCTTATCAGGTGATGGTGCGGCCACGTGGGGTGGAGGAAATGGAAGTGGCTAGGTCTGTCGCTGTCGACGGGGATGAGAGAGCGGCGTAGCTCGCTGCTCCGTGGAATCGCCGGGGCCCGCCGGTGGAATTAGTCTGACGGCCAGGCCGAGTAATCCCCGCGTAGTTCCGCGGTCTGCATCAGGACGGCTCCATCGATATAGAGCCAATTGAGCCCCTTTTTCACGCCTTTCTTTGCCGAGTTTCTCCCTCCGTTGCCTTAGCGTTATCCTCAAACTTAGCGACGCATCGAGCGCAACCTGCGGAAAAGAGAAGAAAAAAAGGGACTTGAAGTCGAGACTTGGATTTATTATCGAGAGAGAAGAACTGGGAAAGAGCAAACGATTTATGGTCCTTCAAAGAATCCACCGAAATCCACTCGAGTACCGTGTCTCATCTTTCTACACGTTCTCAAGAGCAAGATCTCTTTTTTACGGAGCAACGCAGGCAGATTTATCGCGAATATTTTAAGGGAGAGCAGCTAACCGGTTAATGAGCTTCCTCGTGGAAAGTGGTTCTCTCGAGTCGAAATGAGTATTGTAGCCGGAAACAGCATTGACATACTCGGAAAACACTTTGCCAGAAAAACGCGGCTAAAAAGATTTACATGAAGTACCACTTGGGTTATACGCACACACAGATATACGGAATGTTTATGATAAAATACACATTCGTTAGCAATTGTCTTTATACTCGAAACAGTATGTCTTGTAATTTTCACTGTTTTATGTTAAAAAAGGAAAAGGTCGGCAGACTACGTTGAAAGAATGATTTGCGCTATAGAAAGTAGAGTACAAACGTCTACCACTAAAAAGAAGCCTGAAGAATACAAAAGACTGTGGTGAAAAGAGATGACGTGGAGCGTTCGCTACGTTTGTTAAAATGAACTGTCTTTAAGCTCAATTCGTACTGTGCAAAGTAGTGCAGCTTTGCATACGCTGTTATCAAGATAAAAGTGCAATCCGTCTATTTGCAGTTGACGTTTTTTTATTTATTTCCTATTTAATCGACGTTTTTTATTTATTTCCTTTATTTCATCTTTTAATTAAGTACAAATAAAAAAGTAATTCTCAAAATTTATTTAATTTTACGTATACAATTTTATGTTTCAATTTTATTTTGACAGAATTTTATAAATGAAAGTTAATTGTCTATTTTTTAAAATTCTATTTCATTAAAAGAAAACAAATATATATTTTAAAGTAAACTTATTACAAATTGTTACATTTATATAGAGACTTTGACATTATTTTAGTTCAGTTTAGTTTTCACGCGTATATCTTCTTTATTATCTCAATTACAATTCTGCAGTGATGCATTAATCGAATGATGGAAAATGAAGGGGATGAAAATAATCAAGAAGCACGTTACTTTTCAATTTAATAGATATATTCGCTTTTTTATATGAAATTTTATTCGAGTTTGACATTCAAATTTGCGTATTGGAAATACAATTTATAGGTCACTGGTCTTAATAAATACATTTCAACTATCATCGAGTGTAGGTTCGTCGCGCAGCAATATTCATTATCTGCTGCGGTGAGAATTAATCAGAAATTCGTCTCGCAAGTGCCCACATTCACACTGAAAACTTCCGTATAGTCGCCGGCACTTTGCGACCGTGTTACACGAAACTTCGTGAAAGTGCGGACGGTCGTTAATCCATAAAGCGGCGCGGTTTCGCAAGCTGCAGCTGCAAGCTGTCGCTAGCAGAATGCGCCGGCGTGTTTCACCTTTAAACTTCAGTTCGAGGGTGGGCGATAGAGTTCTCGAACAGCCACATTTGATGGCTTCATTTCACAGTGCTCTTCTTAATGTATCGACCGTTAAGACTGATTAAGACGATTGAGTGAAAGATCACCGATATTATTCGACAAGTTTGAAATAATAACACGCCCCTCACTCATGAGGAATATAAGAGGAAACTACGAAGCATAAAGTAAAAATATAATATAGTTAATTTGCATTCTTTACAAGCTCGATTTTTAGCATCGATAAAGTGTCAATTCTTATCGCATTTCTATTAAGATATTAATTTATAATAAACAGCTACAAGGATTTATAATCGTCATAAAATACTAATTTTATGAATAATTTTTCCAATTGCTAAAGGTTTTGTCTCGTGGATTTAATTGCATATATAGTACTAATTGTGAGTTCTTTATTTCAATTGTAGTTCAATTGTATAGCTTCACGCGCGTTGTTCTCTTAAATGATAACTCTGTATGTAGTGTATTATACGCGTCGCGGTGGTGGAGAGACAGCGATTGTCACTGCGCAGCAACGCGATTATCCGCGAGAAGTTGCAATTGGCTCTTTGGAAACTTGGTGCATGGCAAGGAATACTTTATTAGCTGCATCTAATGATTGACAATGGATGCGCTTCACGGTGAAACGAAGTTTAACTCCCGATTTTGCTATCGAGGACACTTTCTGGGATCGATCGAATAAATCAAGCGGTAATGGAAGCGCGGTTGAATAAATCATAGAAATTTTACATTGCTTTCACTAACAATAAGAAACGACCGATAAGAAATAGGGAGAGTTATAAAATGTTAAGTACAATGCCAGGATAAAAAAAACTGTTGATAAAATTTTCTCGATGCTCGAATGACCAGAGGCAATCTTATAAGCCTTCTAATATATAAGCTTTCAATATGAGTTGATCGCCTAAGGCGTCGTGCTTGAAGGAGATCTTGCATTCTTAAAATATCAGCCAAACTCTTTAGAATTATGCGAAGAGAAATATTTCTGTTGCTTAGAGCCTTGCAAAACTAAGGTTGCTTTTTCTGATAATGTCTTTGTTTAGGCGAAAACTCGTTACATTGTATAGGAGGGCGTGGGGATAAAATTTACAGCAGCTTGCTTAAGCTCGTTTCGCACTAGAAGAAGTTTATCTCGTTTGCGCTGGATGCCGTGCATCGTCCTATTTTTCTGCGTCAGATTTTATGAAACCACCGCCGCCATGCCACGAACGAAAGTTGGCGAATCTGAAGAACGTTCAGAAACTTTCGAGCTTTATTAGACTTCGGGATAGCATTCGTATTGTTATTGAAGCGAACTTTTGGTAACTAATTAAAATGTTCTTTTTGCGATAACTCAATACTTTTTTGCCGATGAACGATTATTTATTGTCTATAAATAATTATTAGAAGTATGTGATTATTGCGTTTATTATCATCCGCAATATTATTAAAAAATTTTATTATTTCTAGTTTTTACGAAAATTTAATATTAATTCTTTCAATAATATTTTTGTTTCTTCTTACAAGTAACTTATTTTTCAACGAAAGAATATAATGTCCGTAACGGTCGTCCGTAATAGTCGATGACATTTTAAAAATGTCGTTGCAATCTTTTTCAAGTAGGTTTGCCGCTTTGCATTAAATATATCATATTACTATATAGTCGCACTCTCATCATCGCTCTTGCCAGAAACAGAAGCTCTTGTAAAACCGTGGCTGAATTACATTAGAGTGCTTTTTTCCTCCATTTACGACAAAATGTCTGACAAATTGACGTGAAAGTAAAGGCGAAAAAATAGAGAATAATTATTAAAAGAATAGTCATGCTGTCCGTATGTGTAAAATTTGGAATTTTTTTATGAAACTATAT